CTTTTATATGGTTCTGAGGTTTGGGGACTACAAACATTTGATACACTAGAAAAAGTACATTTGTATGCAGTAAAAAGATTCCTCGGTGAGAAATTTACTACTTCAAACATGATGGTTTATGGTGAATGTGGTAGGTTTCCATTATTTGTTGATTCAAAAATGAAAGTAGTAAAATATTGGTTAAAAATCTTAAATATGCCATCTTACAGATTACCCAAAAAATGTTACAATATGATGATTTTGTACGATAGAAATGGAAAACGTAATTGGGTCACAGATGTCAAAAATTCGGTAATATATGGCTAGAACAGTGCATAGACTCGCATCCAAATTTCCTCATGTCCATTAAACAAAGGTTACAAGATATATGTCTCCAGACTTGGCTCGACCAATTATCTGTATCAAATAAATGTTTCTATTACAGAATGTTTAAGTAATCTATATACAATGAAACCTATCCACCATCTTTGAATGTACGGAAATATAGAGTCACGCTTACAAAATTTCGTTGCTCCTCCCATGATTTGTTAATAGAAACAGGTAGATATATTGGAATAAAAAAGAATGTGTGTAAAATGTGTGACTTGAATCTAATTGAAGTTGAATATCATTTTCTTTGTGTTTGTCGAGCCTACCACAATTTAAGAAATAAGTATATTAAGAAATATTACTTTGTACATCACAATATTTATAAATTTATATTTCTATTAATCTATTCTAGCAAGGAACACCTGGAAAAGTTGTCAATGTTCCTATACCATGCCTTTCTACACAGCAGAAATGTACTCTCTACTGCCTAATAACAATATAGTCAGTATACATGTACTATAGGCCTGTGGCCTCTTAAGTGCAAATAAAGGTTATTATTATTGAATAGACAAGTAGCGTCACTTTTGAATGATCAACATCTTCCCGCCACTTCATGTGAACAAACTGCCAGGTGACAAGAAAAAACATTCTCCATGTAATTGATGTATGGATAGACATATTCGGCTGGACCTCAAGCAACTCTTGGAGGGAGAAATGAACTACAGGACACACAGATGTAAAAGACCATGTGACATTCGAGTGTGTGTGTGTGTGTGTGTGTGTGTGTGTGTGTGTGTGTGTGTGTGTGTGTGTGTGTGTGTGTGTGTGTGTGTGTGTGTGTGTGTGTGTGTGTGTGTGTGTGTGTGTGTGTGTGTGTGTGTGTGTGTGTGTGTGTGTGTGTGTGTGTGAATTTGTTTGGAGACTAGGAATGTTTTCAGGTTTCTGTTGTTCGGATACAAACATCAAACATGGTAAGATTTCGAGGCTGTGTTGTTGGTGTTCCCCTAAATAGTGGTCTTGACGAGTTCGAATCCAACTCGGGCAATGTCTGTAACTTGCATCTCTCTGGGTTTGTTTAAACATTTGGCATACCGATACAAAAGCGGATATTCCCAGAATAGAATCTAAGAGTTTAAAGAAGAACAATTTTGCCTGTTTTGAAATTGTTGGCTTCATATGCTAGGCGTCTTACAAATTCCCAGAAAACCAAAATATGAAATTATCTGTTCGTGTGATTCAAGCGGTCTCAGTCACACAATCAGTCATTCAGGTATTCAAACACTCACAGATTGAAGTTCAACTCACATAATACCAGCATACAAACGTAGAGCGTTGCTTTCTCTCCCGCCATTTCAAACGTACGAACATTGGCGATGAACTCATCTCACACCGGTGTTTCCGTCTCGATTGCGCATGCTCACTAAATGTAGGCCATATTGGCAGTTTGTCTTATGTGTGCTCCCCGTGAGATCGTCGATCCAACGATTCCTGCTATCTCATCATTTTACTCCTTTATACAGTGTATCTGACATCATGCAATGGCTGGTTGCCTCACGCTTGTGAAGCGATTTACCAGGTGATATATTGTTGTCAAGCGCTATCAATATTTGGTTATGATTCATATTTATCAAAGACATCACACACATATTATCGATAATATCAAGTGCCCTTTGTGCAAGTTTGGTTCAGTTGTATCACTGACCATGTCTCTGGTAGGATGGTAACCTGCATGTATAAGGGTCTAATATTGTGAGAGAAGAAGTGAATCCGATAAAACCGTTATATCACGATGAGGTGACGTGAATGTCTGCTCAAGGTCGCAGTCAAGATTACTTTAATTACATGACATTACATGATTTGCTGTACAACAAAAAAGGTGGAGTAAAAAAAAATAGAAAAAGAAAAATGACCAAAAAAAGGAGATTACTGCAAGATGTGCAAGTGTGTGTGCGTGTGTGCGTGTTTGAGTTTGCTTGTGCTAGACAGGAATTATGCCGGTTTTATTGTGCGAGATCATTGATAAACCATGCCGCCGTAAGCATGAACACTCAACACATACACCGTACAGTCCCTGGCGTTTAGTCTTCACCAGGCAGGGTAACAACATGTACCATGCTTTGGTATGACGCGTCCAGCGGATAGAACCGCCGACCTTCGGGACAGACACTCTATCCACTGGACCATAGAGGTCATCTATATGCCGATAACGTACTGACAGTGTTATACCATTTATAGACCCGGCGATAACGTTTAGAGGGTATAAAGACGAGAAAAGGTATGATACTTTATGGATAACACCTTTTTTTATTATATCATGATGTGACTTGATTGACGGCTATAAACATCTATACCGACACGTCGCATCATGATATAATAAAGAAGTTGGTATCCATAGAGTATCATACCTTTCTTATTATTCATCAGCTTCCAAAATGCAAATCAAATAGATATAAAGCTGCAGTACTTTATCGGAATTAACAATGAAACTAAATCAGACAATATATATTTAAAGAAAAGCGACGCATCATATTTTTGTTTTGTCTTTTTGAATAAATTTTACTGACATTTAGGGAATTTATAAGATTGAGAGTATGTATACCAGATAAAAGACAACGTTGCGATAACAAAGGTTTAGGGGATACGAAGGTTTAGTCACCGACATGTTCCCGTCGATCCCATGAGCGTCATGAGTCACAACCAAATAATCGACTGCGAAATGTAGAAAATGAACTTGGTTCCTTTGTACAAAACAGCATTAGCTTTACGACTGCCGTAAGACTTTAGCGTAAGCGCTAAAATCGCTTTGTACGACGGCACCTACTTTAATGCACTTCCCTTCGAGGCCGACAACCCTATAGGGACCAAGCTGTTCAAGCTGTTGATAAGCTTGTGCGGATTGTTGTGTAAATGTTGAAATGTGTAAATGTATAAATGAATTGCCAGTGTATCTCGAGATCACGAGTAACACCCCTCAAAACATCGAGTAAACACGAGCAATTCCATTCAACAAATTTGAGGACCTGTCAATCAGATTTCAATTCTCTTCAGCAGTGCACATGACGTGACACAATAAGAACTGTGACCCGTCGATATCACGTGTCAGTTCATTCGAGTTTAGCAGTCGAAGGCAAGGGGTGACCTTTGAGAAGGCCGTAAATAGCCCCCGTGATATATTGTTTCCCATCAACAACCGTGTTTTGTGTGTTGCTGGTAACATCCACCCTTTATGTCAGAAGAGTTGAAATTCAGTGGGTCTATCCCCGCCACGTCCAGCACAAAGATGTAATAAGAGGGTACTTTTTGTTACCCTGCCTGGTGTTTAGCACCATCGGATATGAACCAAGGCACTCGAGTCAGTATAGTGTGGCTGACTGGGCTGACTGTCCCCCTTACACTGAGTCATGGTATCCCAGCCGGCTTGCACTATGAAACTGGCAAATGTATATACATGCACGTCGCGTATATTGAAGCAATAATGTTGAAGGTGACGTTAAACCCTATTTCATCTCACTTCCTAGGAGATGACACACATGTGTCACTAAGAGCGTCTTAGTCAACACACCAATTAGCATATACACCTGGGAGAAAGTTAAGCACCTCTCAATATGATGACCGATAACGGAACTGTGTTCAAGTTCAGCTTGTTCATGATGGTAATGTATGATGATAATGTTCATTTAAGAAATTATTGCAAGTGTACATGGTGGAGAGTGCCTCCAAAACACACCCTGTGGAGCATGTCCAGAAGAAAACCCCAGAATTGTCACATGTGCAGTTTGTGCACGTGCCACATGTGGGTATTTTATCTGCATGGGTACCATGCATCCTCTTGCTACAGGACCCGCATGTATGGATGGCACTGCTGGGCCGCGCCATGCTCGTGCAGTGACAGCTTTCATTCAGAATAATGCAGTGACTCGCCTTCCCCTGGAGCACAATTGCGACTTTATCGGGCGATAGATTCAAACACGTATACCACATGTTCAAAATCTACTTGAGCTGGAAGCAGTTTTGAACCAAGAATGGCGACAGTTTCCTGTGCAACGGATACCACGACTGACGGGGTCATGCGACATGGGTACAGGCAGGTATCCAAACACGTGGAGGGAACACTAGATATTTGATTTGCCGCGTTCCCTGTTTACAAATAAACGTTTGGGGATTTTTTTGGTGTTTTTTATATTTTTTTATATTTTTAAAGCATTTTTACGTTTTTTGTCTCGGCATCACATACACGTCATGTTGCCTGATCCTCTCTCTAGCTCCATACTTGTATCAGGTATCGATTTGAGCCACAGATGATTTGTGTATTGTGCCATATCCATTATCAAAACTTTGAAGGAAAATGACCTTTTGGGTGTTTTCTTGTAATAAAGACATAATTTTACACAAATGCATTCTGCTTTACCAGCGTACTGTGCGGAACATAGAACTTTGTAAAATTTACCTAGGGTGCTTTACTTTTTTCCAGCTGTATATAGTGTGACCCCATGAGGTTGCGCACAAGCTGACAAGTCAGGAGATATCTGGCTGGGGATTTACAGCATGCCTGTCAGGGACACTGAAATGCTTTAGGTAGGTATGAGGGTAGGTATGTAATCGATCTCAGCTGCACGCAACACCAAGGCTCCCGCCGCGTTCTGGCGCTGGGAAACGGGGTGGGAGGGTGGTTAGAACTGGGGGAGGGAGTATAGCAGAACGGAACTGGTCGCCTTGCCGCTAAAGGAAGTAATACGGTATCAGGACGTTTGTTAAACATGGAGTAACTGGCAGACTTCTTTATCAACAAATGAAGAATGAAGTTACAAATGGTGGTTAGTTTGACTGTCCACCTGGGACTGCTGCTATTATGTAAGTATAATAGAATGTATCTATACAACGGGATTTCGAAGTATGTCGAAGTATGTCGAAGAACAATACGAAACTAGGATCTGTTTTGATTTGGCAAACATGTCATGTAATGATTATGTTGTTGGTTATTTTAAAATTGTTATGATTTAAAGCGTTAGTATTTCAATCTGTGTTTACACTGTGTAGATATCAGTATTATCCAGCAATGACGTGTACCTAATAATCATAAGGCATTCACATATGTAATAATATCAATAATCTTTTGCACGATCACTAGCTTGCTAAGTTCCCTTATCTGTGTCTGTTAATAAAAGAATATCAGTGGCGGAAACAAAACAATGACAATATAGAACGTATACACATGAGGATCCCTTGTCTCGATCATCTGCCGAAACAGATTCCATCGGATGGACAAGGCATTGATCTTGTGATCGTGTACTGCCCTAGAGGTATCACCACCACCAATTTGTGTTTGTTAGTTGCCTGCCTCCTACTACAGTATTCTTGCCATGCGACGGCAGACTGTAAACAGAACTCAAACAAAAAACATTTTTGAAGTCAGCGATATGTTAATTTTGCAATTATTTCTCCTCTGAGCAAGTGCAGAAGTTCTGCTGCTCCTTAGGTAAAAATGAGTTGTATTTTAATATGTACATTATGTTACACTTCTGTGTCTCAGCGTAAACGGGCAGCGGGTTAGCCTAGTGGTTAACGCGCTCGCTCGTCACGCCGTAGACCCGGGTTCGATTCCCCATATGGGTACAATGTGTGAAGCCCATGTCTGGTGTCCCTCGTCGTGATATTGCTGGAATATTGCTAAAAGCAGCGTAAAACTAAACTCATTCACTCAGTGTAAACAATTCTTGTAATTTGTAATTAAATGCAATTATCTAACGACAATGACTGGTAGACTTTATTATTACCAAGTACTCAATTTATGCGACCGTGTCTGTATCCTCTGTAACGCTTTTCCGCAAATTTTCATTTAACATTTTCTAGTGAGCCTAAAAGGGCTACTTCGTCTTTTCTGAAATAGGTAAGTAAAGTTTATTGGCCATGTACCTCGTTATATCCGTTGTTGAGTTTATCCGCCTGTAGGAGCTAGCTGACTGTGTCTTGCAGATCTTCTCGCGACTGTCATCATGACGCTGAACAAAGCCTTCATTAAAGCCAACGACGCCGGTGTTCAAGTTCAACTGACAGGCTACCAGATCGAGCCAAACATCTCCGTCGGTGTCCACGTGCTGCTGCTAGCCGTCGCGGTGAGTCATGTTGTGTGAAAGTATGAAATCCATCATCCAAAATCTAGTGTATTGCATAAGTATTCTGTTAAAATATATACATTTCACTTCACTTTGTTTCTAATTCGAAAATACCCTTGAAGATCCGGGTTAGAATTGATCTTCAGTAACCCATGCTTGTCGTAAGAGGCGACTAACGGGATCGGGTGGTTAGGCTCGCTGACTTGGTTGAAACATGTCATCGTTTCACAGTTGCGTAGATCGATGCTAATACTGCTGATCACTGGATTGTCTGGCCCAGATTCAATTATTTACAGACTAACGCCATCTGGAATATTACTGAGTGCGGCGTAAAACTAAATTAACTTTAATTCGAATGACGGTAAATGTTTACATCCTAATGAATCAAAGGACACTCGTGTGCGAGATAAATTATAAGGTGGATAGAGCTGGTTGTTTCATGAATTTCGATACTGGAATATTGTTTTATATTTTATGATAAGATACAGTACTAGGGGCTGCATACCATCATGTAGTGTTCGGGTCTGTACTTGTTGCCCATCATGTAATAGTGTTCAAATATATTCCAGAAAGTTTGTGATTTCTGTTTTATTATCCAACTGGTATAAAACCATAAAAGACCCATGATGTGGCAAACAAACATCCGATGTGTATATAAGTGTTTTCACGTTTCTTTACAGATGTTTATTCCATCGTTAATAGGATTGTTTTACACGTGCATCAAGAAGGAGACACAACGGGTAAGCGTACAAGCCAATGTGTACGAATTTAGTGGCCATGATAATGACAAGCGCCCGACACAAGTAATATGTGCAATATGCACACATACTGCCCCATAAGTTCTGTTTGGGGTCCATTTCAAAAGTTTGATGACGGTTTAATAAGTTTGTGAACATACATCTCATATGCCCAGGTACTATATCGTCAAACTGTTCTATATGGTCAGTATTGCTATCCGAAGAAAATCGCACACAAATCATGGTCCCATTTCATGTGTTTCATCACAATGTACCAACGCCAGTGATGCAAATCATTTCCTGTGAATCAATGTGACAATGTGTTCTGTATTTACTCACCTCAGCCACACATTTCCTAAAAATGTTTAGTGCACAATAGACCGGTTTAATAAAGAAAAGAACGGTTCGAGTGTTTTATCTAAACGGGTACCAACAACACCCAATAAAATCTCCATGATTTCATTCTACACATGTTCAGTGTTTAAACAAATTCTGAACAGGTGTGGGTTTTGTGCATGCAGTGTAAAAGTGGTGTTTTTGTTTCAGCGGTTCTACAAGAAGAAGCTGCGAGTTGTCCATGTAACCTTCCTACTGGTGGGGATACTAACCTTGTGTGTGCTGCTGGCTTCCGAAGCGGCAGGTATTGGCGACATCAATGGAGTCGGCTGCTATCTCGACAACAACAACTGCGTTTGTGCAGATCTACCCACGTATGTTAACACCAAAGGACGAGAGGATCTCAAAACAAATATATCTCCGATATAACGTCTTTGAGCCTGAACCTCCGGAGCGTTCCTGTTCTGTACTGTACTTCAGTATGTTCCTGTTCTGTACTGTACTTCAGCACGTTCCTATTCTGTAGTGTGCTTCAGCACGTTCCTGTTCTGTACTGTACTTCAGCACGTTCCTGTTCTGTAGTGTACTTCAGCACGTTCCTATTCTATGTTTCAGCATGTTCCTGTTCAACATGTAGTGTACTTCAGCATGTTCCTGTTCTGTACTTAAGCCTTCAGCATGTTCCTGTTACTGTACTTCTTCAGCACGTTTCTGTTCTGTACTTCAACATGTTCCTGTTCTGTACTGTACTTCATCGTTCCTGTTCTGTACTTCAGCACGTTTCTGTTCTGTACTGTACTTCAGCAGCCTGTTCTGTACTTCAGCACGTTCCTGTTCTGTACTTTAGTATGTTTGAAAACACACCCAGGTGCTTTATCGTCAAACGACCCGCGAAGGTCCGGGTTATAATATTGGCCTTCGGTAACCCATGCTTGTCGTAAGAGGCAACTAACGGGATCGGGTGGTCAGGCTCGCTGACTTGGTTGACACATGTCATCGGTTCCCAGTTGCGCAGATCGATGCTCATGCTGTTTCTGGATTCACTGGATTATCTGGTCCAGACTCGATTATTTACAGACCGCCACTATATATCTGGAATATTGCTGAGTGCGGCGTAAAACCTAACTCACTCACTCACGTACTCACTTATCGTCAAAACGTTGATATGGTCCCTAAACAGAACGTACTGATCAGTATTTGTGCAAATTGCACATATTTCTGTGTCGGGCGTTTGTCATTTAATTAGCATGACCACTAAGTTGGAACACATGATCTGAACCTACGGATTGTTTCAGTGGTATGCTTGTGGTGCGATAAACGTCAAAACACTATCACTTCGGACCCTCCATAAAATCCATGATGTAATTGCAATATCGTTGATAGAGGCGTTAAACCCGACTCACTCACTAACTAAAGGGTATCCGAGACCATGTTTCACCTTCCAGATCCAACAACGTCTGTGCTTGCGAAAATCTGCGCATCTCCTACCTCGTCTTCATCGTCCTGTCATTATGTTGTGAGATACTCAGCCTGTTACTTGCAGCAAAGTTGGTGAGTATACCATCTTGACACTCCATTAGATGCATTAAAGTGCGTATTATACTGCCTGTAACTTTTGATTACCAATGCATCGCAAAGGTATATGGTTCATTTGGAACTCATCTCGGAAGCCTTTTGTTATCTCAGGAAAGAAACAAGTTCAAGACATTATATTGTTTAAGCTTTTTGCGTTGAAATACATTTCTTGGTGAGTGAGGGCAATTGTAACCATACGTGGTGAAAGATCGTCATGCAAATCTTTTTTCAATTCTTTTTGTTTGTTCCCATTATTGAATACAAGCATATGAAGTGAAGCAATAAATGTTCAAATGCATGATCAAAGTTCATTGGATTCATAATATATATATTTTTAATAAATCCGGAAATCAAATACTTTACCAGACAATTACTTGTACAAACTTTTCAGATAAAATGTCCACCACGCGCGGCTTCTGCTTCTGTGGGTCAAGGCCCAACTGAAAACTCTACGGTTCCCACAGTGGCGATAAGTTCAGCTCAGAATGAATAAAGGACCTCCGATGTGCATAGTGTAGTAGATCTTGAACCGGAAGTAGAGTTACAAGCGAGTAGGATGCTTCCGCTATAATCTGCTGGAGTCACAGAATTACATCAAGTATTCCGTGATCAACAGGGACCTCGAGAAGATTAATGACATGTTTATATGCTGAAGGAGACTAGTTTAGATTATGTTCTTAATCGTTGCTGTTCTTAATCGTTGCTATGAGATGATGATAGTTCCTTCTAGTAGACCGCCATAAATGGCTGGAATATTGCTGAGTGCGGCGTAAAACTAAACTCACTAAACGCTTCTAGTAGAAGTGCCCAGTACGTACCAGCATATCTCCCTGGAAAGTATTCCACAGAAGTGAACAGCGTGGAATCCCGTTGATCCGGAGTACATCCTTCTCAGTGAAACTGTCCATATTCACACATGTCCGGATAAGCGAATCTGGAAAGTAATGTTTATACAAAATGTATGTGGCTCCGCACTTCTGCCCTGCCCTATTGACCACGATATAAAGGATTCAGTGTATCATGTGTATAATATTGTACATTCTGAAAGAAATACACTTCTAATTACAAACCCAAGTTAAAAAAAGATGCCTTATATGTTTCATGGTTTGTACGCAAACTGTAATAAAGTTGTAACTATAACACCGGATTCTGTCATCACGTGTGCCCATGCGCATTATCTATGACACTTCTGCGCATGAAGAGTTTACCTGCACAACATTCATACAGTGCAGTTGTGTGGAATAGAGACTACAGCAAGCAAACAGTGGTTGATGGAATATGCATTGATCCAAACTCTCGAGGACGGGTCAGCATTGGCTCAGAGGACCCCACCACTACAAATGTAAATACCGTGCTGTCTCGTTGACACATAGGATCATAAACATGGACCCTTTTCACATAGCGATCTCAGCGCTAGGGATGTCGTAAGTCTATAGTAGAGTGCTACGGTCGGCGGGTGCAAAGTGGTCGCAGTGACTACATTTAGAGTAGACCGAAGTACAAATGAGTGAGTTAATATTTAACGTCACATCGGCAATATATCAGCCACATCATGACGAAGAAGTACAAAAGAAAAAAACATATATTTTGAAAAAGTGTTCTGTTTAGTAACAAGCCAAGTAACAAGCATTGTGTACGCTTTGCCAAAACACCAGAAATAGTGAGTGAGTATGGCTTTTCGCCGCTTTTAGCAATGTTTCAGCAATATCACGGGGACACCGGAAATGGGCTTCACACATTGTACCCATATGGGGAATAGAACCCGGGTCTTCGGCGTGACGAGCCAACGCTTTAACCATTGGGCTACGACACCGCCCCTCAGCAGAAATATTCTTTATGACGTTAAGCGTAGGATATCATGAAAAAACTGATTTTGTTGCATCGCACGTGCATAAACATGAACCAGCAATATGAAATAAATTCGACTGAGATTGTAAGTGGTATACGTGTACATGCTAAAGGCACACATCAAAATGCCAACATTATCAAAAGCGGAGCGGGAACGAGCCACTTTAATGTTGCAATTGGGGTTTTCGAACAGCCATACTGTCAGAATGTTCGGCTATATCATCAGACTAATGAAACGCGTCAAACCGACTGGCTAGACATCTGACAGTCCCAGAACAGACCAAGAGTGACCACCTCACAAGATGGCCGTCGCCTGTGCATACTCCATCAGCTCACAGTGACGTCATCAGCATCAACAGCTTTGGGTCGCTGCATCAGCAAGAACACAGTGATGAGACAAATACGTGCTGTCGTCATCCGGGTCTATAGAGCATTTTGGAATATAGAATTCGAACCCCGTATTCACGGTTTCAGAATCGTGAAATACCGTCTTGTACGCCCCTTCCAAGTTCTGGGTATCGTCGACATATCGGAAAAAACTGTTTGGATTCGGACAAATTCCTCCATTGCTGCGAGTTAGCGTAATTTGATAGCAGTTATTTTTGTTGTTTAATTGAAACGGTCATGGTTCCCAGTTAGCGATTTCTATCACGTTACTTTTGTGTTTATCATTATGACCATAATGGAATTACGGTTTGACTGCCTACCTTAGAAGCCTCTGTCAGCTTTCTATAGATAGAGAAAAGCCACACAGGGCTAACAAAAGACATGCCATGTTGCACGCCTCATTAGACTGTAACTGGATCTGTTTTAAACTGTAGAACATAGACGCAGACATGAATAAGACATACAAATATCGTCATGTGATAACTCTTTACGTGTTACCAGTAGGTGTTGCTCATTGCGATATTTGATCAAGAAGTACATTTATCCAGTCAGATGAACCACTAGATAAATTACACAAACCATGTCCTTGAGAACACAGCAGATTATATAAATTACCCATAGTCTTCTTAAACGAGGAAAAAAATCCTGATCTGAAGGGAAGACACCTGCCAAGTGTCACGTAGGCCCATGGGCGCCATCTTGAATTGTATGACACTGTGCATTGTCACGTTGGTTTGGACAACTTCCAAGATGTGAGCCAGACATTGGATGTGAACCTGAATGCTCTGCTTCCTAATATATCGGTGTTCCTGTGGGTGTATTAAGGCAACTGCGATGCATGTCTGGAATTATCTTATCGCCGAGGTTTATAGTTCTGCGGTGATGCATTTCTGTTTCAATAAGCTGTTATCGTAACTGACATCAGGCCTAGATTTTCGAAACTCTCTTAGCGCTAAGATAGTCGTAAGTTAAGGTTAATGTATGGCACTTACGACTATCTTAGCGCTAAGAGAGCTTCGAAAATCTAGGCCCAGGTCGTTACATCCGGCGTTTGTTATGGACGGAGTACAATCCTGGATTCGTTAGATGGTTCGTTTATTTTGTAGGAGTTCGCTATAACTGTTCGTTATATCGGTTTACCTCACAGCCGAAGTTCAAAAGACCTTTATATACGATGTTGTATTCATGGTTCGTTATCTCGGTATTCCTTGTCAGGGGAGCAACGTAAGCAAAACTCCATGACATCGACACGTCACAAATCGTGACCACACGATTCAATTCAGTCGCCTCTCCTGACCAGCAACAGAGTCAAAGGAACCGTGCCTCAAAACAAATTTAGCTCTGTAAGTCTATGTTCGGGTATATGAGTCTTTGTAAGGGTTTCAGGGCTGTGCTTACTCTAACCCACCTATATCCAGTGTAGGAAAGATAGCCCGTCCCAACGTCCGAGACGGGTGAATTTTGTGGAGGACGGGTTAAAAAAATATCTAGTCCGTCCTCATGTTGGGTCAATTTTAGCAAACCAATGACATATATATAATGATTATAACCTTTTTGAATATTTACTGCCGAAGGTGTTTTATTTATATTTGGAGGACAGGCTAGATTTTGGCAGGACTGGTAAAAAATTTGACCTGCCAGTCCTGTGGACAGGCTAGATTTTCTACATCTTTCCTACACTGCTATATCCCCATCTTACTCACGCTTTCATTCACTGGTTTGGGTGGCAGTGATTCTTGTATTTACAGGCCGCCATGATATGACTCAGTGTGGCGTTAAACTGTATTCACTCACTAACACAGTAAAGTAGTTTCGCACCACCACTGATCATACCCGAGCTACGGACCAGGGTCCCGATCCACAAAACGTTCGTAAAGTTACGACCTGTCGTAACTCTGTAGGTTATGTTTGGTTTACGAATGGCGTAGTGCTACGAATGCTTTGTGGATCGGGACCCAGGGTCCCAATCCACAAAACGTTCGTAGCGTTACGAGCTCGTAAGTAGGAAACGTTCGTAAGTAGGAAAGACGTGGTCGGGAATGATTTGTGGAGTGGATGTATTTTATTGGATGTTACAAAACCCAGATATATCCGATATTTTACTTATCCGCCTTAAAAGGGAGAGTAGAACTTCTGAACAGGTTGTCGGAACCCGTAACCGGTGTTAAGCGACAGATCGACTTATGAGAGTTCCATGCACTTCAATGTCATTGTAAATAGAAGGGCTATGTCATTGACAACGATTTCTTCCCGTCGAGAATGGTGTAAAAAACCTTTATCTCTGACAGGAAATCCATACTTACGACTCGATAACGAATTTATTTGCTTTTAGTTATCACACAAGGTGCAATGCCTTTATCGATAACCTCCGACCTTGCTTGAAGCATTCCGGAGTAGCGGAAGAGATCAATTGATTGGTCGGTTGATCGGATCGTCAAACAGGGCGTATGGCAGAGAACATACGGTAACAGACCTGCTCTCAGGCTACCCAGGATAGTGTTACCAGATTGTGCTGTCGGTCGCCTGTATTCCTGGGCGTTGGGGTATGGAGAGATTTTAGCTCTAACTTGACTGTCCAGCTCTAGACGCCATGGCGGACTTGGATCAAACAATCGCCATTCTTACTACGACGTTGTTGATATTTTTAGGTAAGGTGATGCATGGTTGTAGCCAATAATGCTTTCTGATATTGAGGGCAGTTTCTCGCTTATTGATATAATAACGTGTAGCCTATTTGTCTGATAGAATATTTTTGCTAAAATACAGAAATGAATGGTAAAGTGATTCAAACTACCAAGGAAGTTGACTAGAGATTGAATTCATCTTCGGACGGTTGGCCGAGTTCTCGTCCCTTAGGCGTTGTAGGATCTGCTAATTCTAGGTTCAAATCTGGAATTTCTCTGTTAATGATCCAAGGATCGGTGGAGAGTGTTCACACACGGGCACTATCCAGATCTCGCAACAGTAGTGAACACCTAACGCATGTGGAGCTTACCAATCGCATGAAGCTGACACGCATGAACTGAAACGTACAAACTGGTGTAAATAATATTCACTACTCTTGAACATAACATAGACTGAAGGGTTTACATCTGTCCGAATTGATATATATATATATATCAATATATAAAATGCACAGGCACATGATTGTTTGCATCAGTTTGTCACGTGATCAGAAACGGGCAATGACGTCATAGAGACGTTAAGGTTCTACATTTAACGGTCTCGGCGTACGTGTGCGTTTGTCTCTGTGCAGGTATCCAGACATGCATCCTCCAAGTCCTCAACTTCAGCCACACGAGCAACAACTCCGCCATGGAACCCTACATCATACAGCCCAACATCGCCGTCTCCCTCGTCGTCCTTATTGTCGTCCTCATTGTAAGGATACTGTACACAGTACATATCACGTGCTGTATTCAATGTATACCATCTGCTGTATTCAATATATACCATCTGCTGTACTCAGTATATAACATCTGCTATACTCAGTATATACAACCTGTTGTACTCAGTATATGAAATCTGCTGTATTCATTATATACCATCTGCTGTACTCAGTACATAACATCTGCTGTATTCCATATATACCATCTGCTGTAGTCAGTATATACCATCTGCAGTACACAGTATATAACATATAACACCTACTCCATTCATTATATATTCAGTCTGTACTTAGTATATAACATATGCTCTACTCAGTATACAACACCAACTCTACACAATATATAACGTCTGCTGTATTCAGTATATAACATCTGATGTATTCAGTACATACCATCTGTACTTAGTATATAACATCTCCTCTACTTAATATATAACACCTGCTTTATTCAGCATATACCATCTGCTGTAGTCGGTATATAACACCTGTTGTATTCGGTATATAACATCTGTTCTACTCTCTATATAACATCAGCTGTAATTGGTATATAACATCTGCTGTAGTCGGTATATAACACCTGTATTCAGCATATGCCATGTGTTTTAATCGGTATATAACACATGTTGTATTCGGTATATAACATTTGATCTATTCTCTATATAACATCTGCTCTACATACCATCTGCTGTAGTCGGTATATAACATCTGCTCTAGTCGGTATATAACATCTGCTCCAGTCGGTATATAACATCTGCTGTAGTCGGTATATAACATCTGCTCCAGTCGGTATATAACATCTGTCGGTATATAACATCTGCTCTAGTCGGTATATAACATCTGCTCTAGTCGGTATATAACATCTGCTCTAGTCGGTATATAACATCTGCTCTAGTCGGTATATAACATCTGCTCTAGTCGGTATATAACATCTGCTCTAGTCGGTATATAACATCTGCTCTAGTCGGTATATAACATCTGTTGTAGTCGGTATTTATCATCTGCTCTAGTCGGTATATATCATCTGCGATCAGAATAGTGCAATACAACTGTATGCGACCATTCACCTATAAACGAAGGAAATGGAAATACAGTTTGTAACAAGTGTCAGGAGCATACGCTGCAAAAACTGGTTTGTTTTAATTTTTGCTTTATTTTTAGTTCATTGTACCTGGCGTGACCGCCCTAGTAGCTAACATGAAGAAATCCCCCACCACGGTAAGTATATGTCCTACATTAAGTCATAACACCTGACGTTTTGTAACTAGTACTACTTTCACCTACTTTCGGGGTATTTCGATATTGCATAGTACATTTTCAGATAGGTTAAATATTTAGAATGTAAGAGCCTCATATGTGAATTGTACAATACAGGCAAGTCGGGCAGTGTAGGGGTTTGGGTTGGGGTGAGACGGGTGGGTGGATGGTCAATGTTATAGCTCACCTTATATTGCGGTAGTATGCAGCATTTGTTATTAAAAGTAACATTGATTTACATCACCTTATTGGCTGTAATAAACACAATGCGTTATAAAATGTTGCATCATTCAGAAAGGTCCGATGTATAACGGTAGTATGACAATAGTAAATGCCCTTTGACTTACAGCGTTTAGTTCACCTGGTCATCCTCTCACTGGCCAGTGCGGGGCTGCTGGCGGTCTTGTGCCAAGATATGTGGACATTGAACCAGGTTGGAAACTCGTACGCCTGCACGTGAGTAAAGTTACAACGGCAACGTTCCTTGCTTATGTTACAAAACCTTTGTCGATTTGATGTTTTGGGAACTGTTTCCTCCCTAGACGCAACCTCTAAGACAACCTGGGATTTGGGGATTTAACTCATGGTTAAATCTGACGACAACTCCGAAGGTCTATGAATGTATGAAGGATTTGAGTTCCCCAAGCGAGAAGAAGAAGGAAATAGTTCCAACCAGCCGGTTCCAACCAGTTTGAACTTAGTACAACCCCCTCCCCACACACCCCACCTCTTTAAATCATTTGTCTCGGACTATTAGACTTGTTTATTTAGAGTCCTGTCCAGTTTTTCTGTGGTTTACGAGAAAGCGAAAGGACTCCATATCCAGCTCAGTAATCGAAACATTTCACTGTCGTTTCAATCAACGAGGACACGTCATTATTCTAAAGCTGACCGTGAACACAGTACAACATTCCAGCTATGTCGTGGTGGTGGCACCTTAAAGTGGACATCACACACTGCACAAGACAAGTTAATGCATACAACAACAACGTTACCATCATCACCATCAACAACGGGAATACAGCGGCCAATTTCCAGTAATCATTTTATAGTTTTAATTTGTTCACAGATATTCACCGATTGTCCAGTGTCTATGCAGATAGAATCTACCCAACTGTGTACAGTGTATAACTGACGGTCATTGTTTTCCAGTGTAGAGACTGTTCAGGTTCAGTCTACCCAGCTGTGTACAGTGTATAACTCACGGTCATTGTTTTCCAGTGTAGAGACTGTCCAGGTTCAGTCTACCCAGCTGTGTACAGTGTATAACTGACGGTCATTGTTTTACAGTGTAGGAACTGACCAGGTTCAGTCTACCCAGCTGTGTACAGTGTATAACTGACGGTCATTGTTTTCCAGTGTAGAGACTGTTCAGGTTCAGTCTACCCAGCTGTGTACAGTGTATAACTGACGGTCATTGTTTTCCAGTGTAGAGACTGTTCAGGTTCAGTCTACCCAGCTGTGTACAGTGTATAACTGACGGTCATTGTTTTCCAGTGTAGAGACTGTTCAGGTTCAGTCTACCCAGCTGTGTACAGTGTATAACTGACGGTCATTGTTTTCCAGTGTAGAGACTGTTCAGGTTCAGTCTACCCAGCTGTGTACAGTGTATAACTGACGGTCATTGTTTACCAGTGTAGAGACTGTTCAGGTTCAGTCTACCCAGCTGTGTACAGTGTATAACTGACGGTCATTGTTTTCCAGTGTAGAGACTGTTCAGGTTCAGTCTACCCAGCTGTGTACAGTGTATAACTGACGGTCATTGTTTTACAGTGTAGAGACTGTTCAGGTTCAGTCTACCCAGCTGTGTACAGTGTATAACTGACGGTCATTGTTTTACAGTGTAGAGACTGTTCAGGTTCAGTCTACCCAGCTGTGTACAGTGTATAACTCACGGTCATTGTTTTCCAGTGTAGAGACTGTTCAGGTTCAGTCTACCCAGCTGTGTACAGTGTATAACTGACGGTCATTGTTTTCCAGTGTACAGAGACTGTTCAGGTTCAGGTTCAGTCTACCCAGCTGTGTACAGTGTATAACTGACGGTCATTGTTTTACAGTGTAGAGACTGTTCAGGTTCAGTCTACCCAGCTGTGTACAGTGTGACGGTCATTGTTTTACAGTGTAGAGACTAAGTCTGTGTACAGTGTATAACTGGGTCATTGTTTTACAGTGTAGAGACTGTTCAGGTTCAGTCTACCCAGCTGTGTACAGTGTATAACTGACGGTCATTGTTTTCCAGTGTAGAGACTGTTCAGGTTCAGTCTACCCAGCTGTGTACAGTGTATAACTGACGGTCATTGTTTTACAGTGTAGAGACTGTTCAGGTTCAGTCTACCCAGCTGTGTACAGTGTATAACTGACGGTCATTGTTTTCCAGTGTAGAGACTGTTCAGGTTCAGTCTACCCAGCTGTGTACAGTGTATAACTGACGGTCATTGTTTTACAGTGTAGAGACTGTTCAGGTTCAGTCTACCCAGCTGTGTACAGTGTATAACTGACGGTCATTGTTTTACAGTGTAGAGACTGTCCAGGTTCAGTCTACCCAGCTGTGTACAGTGTATAACTGACGGTCATTGTTGTACAGTGTAGAGACTGTCCAGGTTCAGTCTACCCAGCTGTGTACAGTGTATAACTCACGGTCATTGTTTTACAGTGTAGAGACTGTTCAGGTTCAGTCTACCCAGCTGTGTACAGTGTATAACTGACGGTCATTGTTGTACAGTGTAGAGACTGTCCAGGTTCAGTCTACCCAGCTGTGTACAGTGTATAACTGACGGTCATTGTTTTCCAGTGTAGAGACTGTTCAGGTTCAGTCTACCCAGCTGTGTACAGTGTATAACTGACGGTCATTGTTTTCCAGTGTAGAGACTGTCCAGGTTCAGTCTACCCAGCTGTGTACAGTGTATAACTGACGGTCATTGTTGTACAGTGTACAGACTGTCCAGGTTCAGTCTACCCAGCTGTGTACAGTGTATAACTCACGGTCATTGTTTTACAGTGTACAGACTGTTCAGGTTCAGTCTACCCAGCTGTGTACAGTGTATAACTGACGGTCATTGTTTTACAGTGTACAGACTGTTCAGGTTCAGTCTACCCAGCTGTGTACAGTGTATAACTTACGGTCTTTGTTTTACAGTGTAGAGACTGTTCAGGTTCAGTCTACCCAGATGTGTACAGTGTATAACTTAAGGTCTTTGTTTTACAGTGTAGAGACTGTTCAGGTTCAGTCTACCCAGCTGTGTACAGTGTATAACTCACGGTCATTGTTTTCCAGTGTAGAGACTGTCCAGGTTCAGTCTACCCAGCTGTGTACAGTGTATAACTGACGGTCATTGTTTTACAGTGTAGAGACTGTCCAGGTTCAGTCTACCCAGCTGTGTACAGTGTATAACTGACGGTCATTGTTTTCAGTGTAGAGACTGTCCAGGTTCAGTCTACCCAGCTGTGTACAGTGTATAACTGACGGTCATTGTTTTACAGTGTAGAGACTGTTCAGGTTCAGTCTACCCAGCTGTGTACAGTGTATAACTGACGGTCATTGTTTTACAGTGTAGAGACTGTCCAGGTTCAGTCTACCCAGCTGTGTACAGTGTATAACTGACGGTCATTGTTGTACAGTGTAGAGACTGTCCAGGTTCAGTCTACCCAGCTGTGTACAGTGTATAACTCACGGTCATTGTTTTACAGTGTAGAGACTGTTCAGGTTCAGTCTACCCAGCTGTGTACAGTGTATAACTGACGGTCATTGTTTTACAGTGTAGAGACTGTTCAGGTTCAGTCTACCCAGCTGTGTACAGTGTATAACTGACGGTCATTGTTTTACAGTGTAGAGACTGTCCAGGTTCAGTCTACCCAGCTGTGTACAGTGTATAACTGACGGTCATTGTTTTCCAGTGTACAGACTGTTCAGGTTCAGTCTACCAAGCTGTGTACAGTGTATAACTGACGGTCATTGTTTTCCAGTGTAGAGACTGTTCAGGTTCAGTCTACCCAGCTGTGTACAGTGTATAACTGACGGTCATTGTTTTACAGTGTAGAGACTGTTCAGGTTCAGTCTACCCAGCTGTGTACAGTGTATAACTCACGGTCATTGTTTTACAGTGTAGAGACTGTCCAGGTTCAGTCTACCCAGCTGTGTACAGTGTATAACTTACGGTCTTTGCTTTACAGTGTAGAGACTGTTCAGGTTCAGTCTAGCCAGCTGTGTACAGTGTATAACTGACGGTCATTGTTTTCCAGTGTAGAGACTGTTCAGGTTCAGTCTACCCAGATGTGTACAGTGTATAACTGACGGTCATTGTTTTACAGTGTAGAGACTGTTCAGGTTCAGTCTACCCAGCTGTGTACAGTGTATAACTGACGGTCATTGTTTAACAGTGTAGAGACTGTCTAGCTTCAGTCTACCCAGCTGTGTACAGTGTATAACTGACGGTCATTGTTGTACAGTGTACAGACTGTCCAGGTTCAGTCTACCCAGCTGTGTACAGTGTATAACTGACGGTCATTGTTTTCCAGTGTAGAGACTGTTCAGGTTCAGTCTACCCAGCTGTGTACAGTGTATAACTGACGGTCATTGTTGTACAGTGTACAGACTGTCCAGGTTCAGTCTACCCAGCTGTGTACAGTGTATAACTCACGGTCATTGTTTTCCAGTGTAGAGACTGTTCAGGTTCAGTCTACCCAGCTGTGTACAGTGTATAACTGACGGTCATTGTTTTCCAGTGTAGAGACTGTTCAGGTTCAGTCTACCCAGCTGTGTACAGTGTATAACTGACGGTCATTGTTGTACAGTGTACAGACCGTCCATGTTCAGTCTACCCAGCTGTGTACAGTGTATAACTCACGGTCATTGTTTTCCAGTGTACAGACTGTTCAGGTTCAGTCTACCAAGCTGTGTACAGTGTATAACTGACGGTCATTGTTTTCCAGTGTAGAGACTGTTCAGGTTCAGTCTACCCAGCTGTGTACAGTGTATAACTTAAGGTCTTTGTTTTACAGTGTAGAGACTATTCAGTTTCAGTCTACCCCGATGTGTACAGTGTATAACTTAAGGTCTTTGTTTTACAGTGTAGAGACTGTTCAGGTTCAGTCTACTCAGATGTGTACAGTGTATAACTCACGGTCATTGTTTTACAGTGTAGAGACTGTTCAGGTTCAGTCTACCCAGATGTGTACAGTGTATAACTTACGGTTTTTGTTTTACAGTGTAGAGACTGTTCAGGTTCAGTCTACCCAGCTGTGTACAGTGTATAACTCACGGTCATTGTTTTCCAGTGTAGAGACTGTCCAGGTTCAGTCTACCCAGCTGTGTACAGTGTATAACTCACGGTCATTGTTTGCCAGTGTACAGACTGTCCAGGTTCAGTCTACCCAGCTGTGTACAGTGTATAACTCACGATCATTGTTTTACAGTGTAGAGACTGTCCAGGTTCAGTCTACCCAACTGTGTACAGTGTATAACTGACGGTCATTGTTTAACAGTGTAGAGACTGTTCAGGTTCAGTCTACCCAGCTGTGTACAGTGTATAACTGACGGTCATTGTTTTCCAGTGTAGAGACTGTTCGGGTTCAGTCTACCCAGCTGTGTACAGTGTATAACTGACGGTCATTGTTTTACAGTGTAGAGACTGTTCAGGTTCAGTCTACCCAGCTGTGTACAGTGTATAACTCACGGTCATTGTTTTCCAGTGTAGAGACTGTTCAGGTTCAGTCTACCCAGCTGTGTACAGTGTATAACTGATGGTCATTGTTTTATCCAGTGTAGAGACTGTCCAGGTTCAGTCTACCCAGATGTGTACAGTGTATAACTCACGGTCATTGTTTTACAGTGTAGAGACTGTTCAGGTTCAGTCTACCCAGCTGTGTACAGTGTATAACTGACGGTCATTGTTTTCCAGTGTACAGACTGTCCAGGTTCAGTCTACCCAGCTGTGTACAGTGTATAACTCACGGTCATTGTTTTCCAGTGTAGAGACTGTCCAGGTTCAGTCTACCCAGCTGTGTACAGTGTATAACTGACGGTCATTGTTTTCCAGTGTAGAGACTGTTCAGGTTCAGTCTACCCAGCTGTGTACAGTGTATAACTCACGGTCATTGTTTTCCAGTGTAGAGACTGTCCAGGTTCAGTCTACCCAGCTGTGTACAGTGTATAACTCACGGTCATTGTTTTACAGTGTAGAGACTGTTCAGGTTCAGTCTACCCAGCTGTGTACAGTGTATAACTGATGGTCATTGTTGGACAGTGTACAGATTGTCCAGGTTCAGTCTACCAAGCTGTGTACAGTGTATAACTGATGGTCACTTTTGTACAGTGAAGAGACTGTCCAGGCTCAGTCTACCCAGCTGTGTACAGTGTATAACTGACGGTCATTGTTGTACAGTGTACAGACTGTCCAGGTTCAGTCTACCCAACTGTGTTCAGTGTATAACTGACGGTCATTGTTGTACAGTGTACAGACTGTCCAGGTTCAGTCTACCCAGCTGTGTACAGTGTATAACTCACGGTCTTTGTTTTACAGTGTAGAGACTGTCTAGGTTCAGTCTACCCAGCTGGGTACAGTGTATAACTGATGGTCATTGTTGTACAGTGTAGAGACTGTTCAGGTTCAGTCTACCCAACTGTGTACAGTGTATAACTGACGGTCATTGTTGTACAGTGTAGAGACTGTCCAGGTTCAGTCTACCCAGCTGTGTACAGTGTATAACTCACGGTCATTGTTCTCCAGTGTAGAGACTGTTCAGGTTCAGTCTACCCAGCTGTGTACAGTGTATAACTCACGGTCATTGTTTTACAGTGTAGAGACTGTCCAGGTTCAGTCTACCCAGCTGTGTACAGTGTATAACTGACGGTCATTGTTTTACAGTGTAGAGACTGTCCAGGTTCAGTCTACCCAGCTGTGTACAGTGTATAACTGACGGTCATTGTTTTCCAGTGTAGAGACTGTTCAGGTTCAGTCTACCCAGCTGTGTACAGTGTATAACTCACGGTCATTGTTTTCCAGTGTAGAGACTGTTCAGGTTCAGTCTACCCAGCTGTGTACAGTGTATAACTGACGGTCATTGTTTTCCAGTGTAGAGACTGTTCAGGTTCAGTCTACCCAGCTGTGTACAGTGTATAACTGACGGTCATTGTTTTCCAGTGTAGAGACTGTTCAGGTTCAGTCTACCCAGCTGTGTACAGTGTATAACTGACGGTCATTGTTTTCCAGTGTAGAGACTGTTCAGGTTCAGTCTACCCAGCTGTGTACAGTGTATAACTGACGGTCATTGTTGTACAGTGTACAGACTGTCCAGGTTCAGTCTACCCAGCTGTGTACAGTGTATAACTGACGGTCATTGTTTTCCAGTGTAGAGACTGTTCAGGTTCAGTCTACCCAGCTGTGTACAGTGTATAACTGATGGTCATTGATGTACAGTGTAGAGACTGTCCAGGTTCAGTCTACCCAGCTGTGTACAGTGTATAACTGATGGTCATTGTTTTCCAGTGTAGAGACTGTTCAGGTTCAGTCTACCCAGCTGTGTACAGTGTATAACTGATGGTCATTGATGTACAGTGTAGAGACTGTCCAGGTTCAGTCTACCCAGCTGTGTACAGTGTATAACTGATGGTCATTGTTGAACAGTGTACAGACTGTCCAGGTTCAGTCTACCCAGCTGTGTACAGTGTATAACTGACGGTCATTGTTTTCCAGTGTAGAGACTGTTCAGGTTCAGTCTACCCAGCTGCGTACAGTGTATAACTGACGGTCATTGTTTTCCAGTGTAGAGACTGTTCAGGTTCAGTCTACCCAGCTGTGTACAGTGTATAACTCACGGTCATTGTTTTCCAGTGTAGAGACTGTCCAGGTTCAGTCTACCCAGCTGTGTACAGTGTATAACTCACGATCATTGTTTTCCAGTGTAGAGACTGTCTAGGTTCAGTCTACCAAGCTGTGTACAGTGTATAACTCACGGTCATTGTTTTACAGTGTAGAGACTGTTCAGGTTCAGTCTACCCAGCTGTGTACAGTGTATAACTGACGGTCATTGTTTTACAGTGTAGGAACTGTCCAGGTTCAGTCTACCCAGCTGTGTACAGCGCGAGACACCAGGATCAGCAACTTTGTACTCATGCTGCTCGGGCTCATCATCCTCGTCGCCAACCTCATCTACACCGGCCTAGTCTTCTGCAAGAGCCAAGTCAGTGAGGTAAGAAGGTTACAGAGGATCCTATGCTGGCGCTACAAAGCGAGCGTAGTGACTGTCGTAAGTCTACGCAAAAGTATGGAGTTACGATCACCGTAGGTCTACGATGGCTTTGCGGAACGTCCCACTGAAGCGCCAGCGCAGCATACCCAGGGAACCAGGATGGTTCGAGGCCTACAATTATTTGCACGGAGCACACAATAACTGTCGGACGTGCTACGGGAACCAGCGAATGTTCCCCGAGATTGACCTCTGACATCGTGATCGATGTTCATGATTTTGATCACTGGATTGTTTGGTCCAGACTCGATTATTTACAGACCGCCGCCATATAGCTGGGAATTGCTAGGTGCGGCGTAAAACAACAAAATAACCAATCATTTTCATTTGATACTGACAGGCAAACACGAACTGACACAGAACTTACAAACACGTTTACCACTTCGGTGATTCCAACGACTTTTGCTATATCAAACCTGGGCACGTAAATGCGGCGAATATTGACTTCAAAACCACAGGGGTTCCAATCACTGTTTTGACAACACGTGTATTTCATGTTTCAATTAGTGTAGCGGTAGAAATTTCTTTAAAATTCATTTCTTCACTGATCTCGTTCAAATTTGAAATATAGGTTAATCATAACATATAAAAATAATATACGATTGCAAAAGTCTAGATTTTTATTTTTTAAAATTATTGTCCAAACAGTGATTCGAACCCCTGTGATCTAAGGTATGTAACTCAGTATACCGAATGCCACGCCCCTGCTATACTTCCAGTTAACTGTTTCATATGTCATTACGCGTTGACAACTCAGAACTTTGCTTATTTGTATAGAATGCATTATGTGAATAGATGCATTCAAGCACATGCTTGACGTTAATTAAATCCATCTTGTTTCTAGAGAGGTGATTGAGTGAGAGAAGAAAATGAGTGACATGGTTCCACAAGATTGGCATGAAACGACCACAGACATCTGTAAATTATCACCACCCACACCTTGCACGTCGCACAACGTCATCACGGGGGATATCGTCATGGTTGTCATGGTTGTGCACAACATTAACTGAGATATAGCAAATTTTGTTTGATGTGTTAAACCAGGTTGTCGAATTTCACACCATTTGGGTACTTCACTGTATACCATCTGTGACAGTGCATACATTCATCATTTCAAATCTTCGAAACAGGTAGAAATACCTGCATCTAATTTTGTAAGAAATATCAGCATGATTACAATCTTGTTTATGTACAAGGTATGTCAATTGCATGTCAGTCACCTTGAAGCGGATCGGGTTTGTTTGGGTATTTTCTTACTATCATGTATAGTCTGTTTGCAGTGAAAACGTACCGATGAATTTCACTTTAAACAAAAAGTAAATCAACTAAAGTGAAATTAATGTTGCGAATCGTCATAATTTTACCTTGCCAATTGAACATTTAAATCTCAGAATTTTATTCATCTTAGGATAAAAGTTGTTTAACAAACGATCATCCAATGAAATCGCTATTAATGGTTTGTATTACAAAGGGGTAAGAGCAGTAGTTGGAACAGTGAAACAATTGCACATGCGGTTCGTGATGAGCGTTAACTTAGACCAACTCTACTTGTTCTCGGTGTTTCATTTGATGTGCATACCCCTTGTAATACAAACCAATAATAGCGATTTGAAACTATGATAGTTTGTTAAACAACTTTTATCCTAAGTTGAATAAAATTCTGAGATTTTAATGTTCATTTGGCAAGGTAAAATTATGAGGATTCGCAATCGTAATTCCACTTTATCCGATTTACTTTTTTGTTTAAATTGAATTCATCGGTACGTTTTCACTGCAAACAGACTATAGTATCAAGAACTAGAACTGTCAAACGTCATATAGTACGAATTTCAAATGTATGTGTAAGACATGAATCTCAGCCAATAGTTCTTTCAGATGACGAAATTAATATTAGTGTCAAAACTCCATGATATAAACAGCCTTGACATTCGCATATGCCCATATCGGTTGTCAGACGTGGGGATAAGTCTGTCGCCTGTAGTAACCAATTACAGTAATTGGGTATGGCCTGTCCAGACGCTATGCGCGGTTTTACGTTTTTACCATTATATCAGCCATTTCACGGCTAGTGAGCTGTCAGATTGAGTTTAAATTTACCTCGACACTTGACAAGTTTTGCTGATGGTATTTGCTTCAGGTTTTGGAAATTGTTGTTAGTTAACACTCTTGCTGATGGTCTTGTACTTGTTAATGAATATTACTGCGTCATCTCCATTTCGATATCAGGAATGTATTGTTGTAGTCTTTTCTGATGTAACGCCTAGATCTTTGTTCTATCATGATAACCCAGTACTGACATTTCTCAGTGTCAATAAACAAATGAGATGTGTATAGACGCTATTGCATTAGGAATAAACATTGTATTTATCGAACCTTTCTCTCTGATGTTACGAATACACTGTCTCTTCGTGAACATAGACGGACAATGGGTAATTGCTGCACAATGTATGTAGAACATACATAAAGCTCTTAATACAGATGTGATTTCGTAGAGAAACATTCGTTCTTCTATACAATTCTTCGATTTAAGGATGTGCGCGGTTAGATAGCCTTGTGGTTCATGCATCTGTGCATCACGCAAAGGACCCCGGTTCGATTCTGCACGTGCATGAGTACAATGTCTGAAGCAATACCCTTGTGGCAACACTACGATATCACGGGGAAACTGCTGAAAGCGGCGTAGCACTCTCGTACGCATTCACTGAACAGTCACGGTGCACTCAGCTACTAAATTCAATAATCGCTACTATTCGAATCCTGGCTACACAGTCCAACGATGGAAACCATATGCAACAATCTTGTTAAGCACGTATCTTAGGTGTCTGTTGTTTGTTGTTGTTTTTAGCCGTGTGTGTGTATGTGCGTGTGTGCGTGCGTGCGTGCGTGCGTGCGTGCGTGCGTCAGATGTGTGTGTGTGTGTGGTGGTTAGGTGGCCTTACACACATGTAGGTTAAACCTAATGATAGACGAGCTTCAAGCACATGACAGAGGAGCTTCAAGCACATAGGTCAGATATAGGTATATATATACCCTCCGCTTGACTGGCCCTTACTACACATGTAGGTTAAACCTAATGACAGACGAGCTTCAAGCACATAGGTCAGATATAGAGAATACTACACGAGGTCTCATTACATACGAATTATACGAAACGAGTGTCCTTCCTATGGTATCTGACCGAGCGAAAGCGAGGTCAGATAACATAGGAAGGTCACGAGTTTCGTTTCGTATAATTCGTATGTAATGAGACTGAGTGTGGTATTTTATTTATGACCCACGTCTTACATGCATCAAATTGACAAAATAGCGTATTTTTGGTATTTTTTGGTTTCAAACCGAAACCGGTTTCATAAAGAGGTCGCGGAAGAGTTTTGTACTGTAGTACAATATTTGCATGACGTCACACTGTAATGACGTCACTGCCTTGGTAACCGACGTCACGATGCATGTCAGTTGTCATCACCTCATACAGCCTCCTACAGTAAACTACTCCCTGTTTCTTGGTTTGCAGTTGCTTCATTGGGCTAACATCACTGGTGGAAACATTGCGTTTATGTTTTTCGACGGATATAATGTCTCAGTTCGACTCACAATTAAACAGCGACACGGCAACGTTCGCAATGTTTACATTACCACAATGCATTTAAGTTGTAGAATGAATGAATTTACGTGTTTGTTATGAATGAAAAAATAGTTACGTCAGAATGTGACCTAAATCAAATCGTTAGAGAGGTCATCGGTTATTACAGGTCATGCAACGATATGACGTACGAGATTAGTATGCAACTACCCATACGTTGACCACATGGGTAATAAAGGTATATATACCCTCCGCTTGACTGGCCCTTACTACACATGTAGGTTAAACCTAATGACAGAGGAGCTTCAAGCACATAGGTCAGATATAGGTATATATACCCTCCGCTTGACTGGCCCTTACTACACATGTAGGTTAAACCTAATGACAGAGGAGCTTCAAGCACATAGGTCAGATATAGGTATATATACCCTCTGCTTGACTGGCCCTTACTACACATGTACGTTAAACCTAATGACAGAGGAGCTTCAAGCACGAGGTTTGTCAGCACCACTCCCGTGTTCTGGGGTAGCACTGGTTCGGAATGAAATTAGGAATTTAAAATAATTAAACAACTGGTTACAAAAAATGGATACATCTTTATTGCACACAGTGTACACTTGCAAATACAACATAGCACTTAACACATCTCTTCCTGCCAATCACAGACACGGAACGGAACAACAGAACAACACTAACAACAGTATCACGTGATCAGCATTGTGGCCGTCTTAAGCAATATCAGCCATAATAACCTGTACGTTCTTACAACAACCGTCATTAAAATGCCACTATATTTTGTGTTGCCACTTTCACACAAGCACATCATTCCAATACATCACTATTTATCTACAAACCCCCAAGTATAGTAGTGTAGACATGGTAGCTGAGTTTTCTTATTCAAGTATTGACAACATTCACAGAGTATTTCCTGGAATGACTTAACCTCCCTGAGCTGGTCAGTGCGCTTTTCTACCAATAAAATTCAACAGGAGGAACGAGAGGTTGATATATTCTAAGCCAGTGAAATGTAGGGTGACACAGACAGGGTGATTACACAAGCTCACTTGTACCGGGAAAGGGAAAGGAGAAACTGCCTCATTAAAATCAGATGTTGTATGAGATATCTCTCCCAGAAACGGTCCATATAGCCAGGTACATACTGAAGGCTGTGCCATTAGCTGTTGTAGACACTCCAAGTACAGTCATGTCTGAGCTCTCTGGCATCAACGCCCAACAGCGAGGTAGACTCAGGACAGATTCGTGTCCTGCAAGGATTGTCTTTGTTAGAATAGAAATCCCTAAGTCAAAGTGGGTTAGAAAGATGACCAAAACATTTTAAAACGCCTTCCACTTTCATTCAGATTGGATGGTCAAAGGTCACCTTGATTTCACCTGATGTGGGCAGTAGAGGTATGCTGAGACCCCAGGGAAAGTGAAACAGTATCAATATTAAAAATGTGATTTTAAAGAGATTGAAAGGGGAACTTTAGCTAATAAACCATAGGGTCAGGTAACTTCATTTTCTTATTTTACAGATGGAAAAGAGAGCATCCCAAATTTCAATACATTGACTAAAATTATAACATAATTATTAAAATTGCAGTTTTTTAATGTTCAAAACAAGACAAGGAAGTTAACCTCAAACACTGAAAGTGTTATATTTTTATTTCTCCTGCACTTTGCAGACCAGGCCAATCTGAAAAACTAGGAAGATATATGGGTCAACAACATAATAACATATCAGTTTCACTTTCACCATTATCATATAACCAAAGGAGTGATTTAGTTTTACACCGCTTTTAGCAATATTCCAGCAATATCATGGGGGGGGACACCAGAAATGGGCTTCACACATTGTACCCATGTGGGTATTATAAACCGGGTCTTCAGCGAACGCTTTTACCACTAGGCTACCCCACCGCCCCTTATATAACCAAAGGAAGATAACAAGACTGTTACTTCAATGTGGCCAGTTTGTTCTTCACATAATCCAAGTGTGAAAGTATAACAAATGATATACCTCAACAGCAGTAAGATGTATCAAGCTATTCCACCTGCAGACTTAACAGTGGAGAAGACTCATAAATCAAGACTTCTACTCCCCAGAAATATTCAAAATATTTCAAAATATTCCCAATAATATTTTTGATAAGTCATATGTGGCACAGACTGAACTAGTACCTACAAAAACATCAATGGGACTGTTAGAGAAAGTGGATATTTTCTTTGAAAAACTGTTTGAATCCACAGAATGTTCATGTTATTGTTTTGTATCAAGTAAACAAAACATTCTACTCATGACTGGCTAAACTAGACTCTATGAAAACTAAACAATGAGACCTCCCAGTTGTAAGGCCCTAGGTCTCTACCCAGCATGCTGTAGTTCCATGTTTGATTCCCCACATGGAAATACTGACAAAACCACACGTGCCTCCTCTACACACACACCAGGTTGGACACCTCCCCAACACACATGCACCCTTGCCAACACACACACACACACACCCTCCCAACATACACACACCCTCCCCGACACACACACACCACTCACTGACACACACACACACCAGCCTGGCCCCATCACACATCACCCAAACACACACACACACACACACACACACACACACACACACACACACACACACACACACACACACACACACACACACACACAGCAGCCTGGACCCATCCCAACACACACACACTCCCCAACACACACACACACTCACAGCACACTCACTCACTGACACACACCAGCCTGGACACATCCCCATCCCACACCACTGGACACATCCCCATCCCAACACACCCTCCCCAATACACACATGCCACATATGGTCACTGTTGTCAGCATTTAGTGTAAACATGGTGGTTACATTATATACAGTGAGCAAGTCAAGTTCTGTGCTGGCTACACCATCCAGCCTCAGATTAATGTAGGTGGAGCCTCAAGAGACGATGGACCATTGTAATTCCTACAGTGTACATCAGCTAATAATTCCCCTGGTTCATCTACAGCCCCAGGAAGTGTCAGAGCAGCCGACGTTCAACACGATACAGGAACCGGTACCTGCAGCCACTCTGTCCCTGCCTACAGTACCTCCTTCATCAGCATATCGGTGATGCTCCCACACCAGAACAAATACAGAAGCAGGAAGTGTCAGAGCAGCCGACGTTCAACACGATACAGGAACCCGTACCTGCAGCCACTCTGTCCCTGCCTACAGTACCTCCTTCATCAGCATATCGGTGATGCTCCCACACCAGAACAAATACAGAAGCAGGAAGTGTCAGAGCAGCCGACGTTCAACACGATACAGGAACCCGTACCTGCAGCCACTCTGTCCCCGCCTACAGTACCTCCTTCATCAGCATATCGGTGATGCTCCCACACCAGAACAAATACAGCAGCAGGAAGTGTCAGAGCAGCTGACGTTCAACACGATACAGGAACCCGTACCTGCAGCCACTCTGTCCCCGCCTACAGTACCTCCTTCATCAGCATATCGTGATGCTCCCACACCAGAACAAATACAGAAGCAGACATTCCACGAACTGACCCATGTCATAGTTGGAGGACACAATATGGGCAACACAATTAACATCCAAGAGAGCAAATGTGTCATAAGTAATATTCCTGCTGTTTTAATGTTGGCTGTAAATATTAGAGCTGTGACGATATATCGTAGTATCGAGAATCGTGATACTTTATCTGACGATCACTATATCGATACATTTTTTCGTATCATGATATGTATCATTGACCTTAAAATTGTTAATTTTCATTAGATATTGACAGTTATGACAAAATTTCTTGCTATTAAAATATGATTTTTTAAAGAAAATAACTAAAGAAAGCATATCGTGATATGCATCGAATCGAATCGTATCGTTCCAAGATATCGCGATACGTATCATATCGTGAAATTTCTGTATCATCACACCTCTAGTAAATATTCATTTTTGACTAAACAAATGTGGTTACTTAAAGCATGAACTATGAACCATGCCCACGGGACATGACTTGCAGTAGGGTGGTGGTGACATTCTAGCTCACGTCCCCACTAGGGTACAGTCAGGTCTTTTTGCCAACTCAGTAAAGTAGCTGCTGTAGTAAATGGTTTCTGTTAATCTCTACAAGATGATGACAAGCAGCTGTATATAGGCAGTCTGTCTGACACACATACAGTCTGGGGCAACAAGGCTCCTCTTTTCAGATCCAAAAACTCATGATACATGTATATATCACAATCTTTAAGTCCACAATGAACTAATTGCCAGAATTACATTCAAAGGTTTCAAACTAGTTGGGATAACAGTAACAGGGAAATCATCTACTATTTCTGTAATGCCCTGTTCTGCGAAAACATTATGTAATATACACAAGAATATATGGACTGTCATGCAATTTTGCAGTCTTTGTAGGGATGCTTAAGAAGAGTGCTTACTGGTTTATCCTGAAGTTGGTCAGTGTGCTTACCACAGTGAATCCTGGACGCCTGTTCATACAGGGAGGAGTAATGGTCGACCACATAGGTCGATGGCAACTCGGAAGCAGGTCATTTTTGTGGAATAAATAAAATATAAATAAAACTGAAACACTGAACACAATTTTCTTTCCCCTGTATTTACCTGGGGACTCTATGATGTTGAGGCGGGGCATGTTGGACCAGGATGAAAATCCAGTCATGAATTATTATCTCTAATCTATGCTTTGATTTTATCTATGATTTTTCATTATCCAGTGATCATGGATTTCCTGACACAAATTCCTGGTTACCATGGTTACAGTATCAATCATCAAACATGGATTTGAAAAACGATAATACAAGACATTATCATTTGGATGACAGAACACCTGTCTGGTGGAACACCTCCCGATTTAAAACATGAACGTACTGTTCTCCTGTCCACTCATTGTGAAAGCTATACACAGCTTTACAGTCACACTGTATGTTAGTGCTAGCTCTGCACTAAACGCTTGAGAACAACACATATATGTAAGAAGTTGTCAGGATAGCTGCAGTGCTCACTCAGCCACAAGATGGGGGTGTCCAACGATGGCTCTATTCCCTGGATCAGTACATGCACATTTTCTAGATCTGAAATTATAAAAAGAAAATAAGTGATTCATAAGGATGATAATCTCACTGTTATAGTTTAACACCCTTTTATACATAGTTCGTGGACTGGTTAATAGGGGAGACTACCATTGTGGTAGCTAATCATGTCTTCATAATAAGTGGTGCTCCGCTTACCTTCTTTGGTGTCACTGGGCAGCGACATGTCCAGCAGCGTCCCCAACGTTTCAGTCTCCCCCATTTCATTGACTGGTCGAAACAACCTTTGTATAAGTGGTTGGTCAGGCTGAAAAAGAATTTAGATGTTCGACTGACTGACTGAGTTTGGTTTTACGCCGCTTTTAGCAATATTCCAGCAACATCACGGCAGGGGACACCAGAAATGGGCTTCACACATTGTACCCATGTGGGGATTCGAACCCGGGTCTTCGGCATGACGAGCCAACACTTTAACCATTAGGCTACCCCACCGCCCCTTAGACGTTCGAAGGTGACCTCCATCTTATCAATTAGTGAGTGGATCGGTGACTGGTGGACAGATGACAATATAACACTGCATTTAGCGACATTCCGACAATGTCACGATGTAGGACACCAGAAACAGTGAGTGGGTGAGTGAGTTTGCTTTACACCCCTCTTAGCAATGTTCCAGCAATATCCTGGCAGAATACACCAGAAATGGGCTTCCCACATTGCACCAGTTGGGGAATGGAATCCGGGTCTTCAGAGTGATGCGTGAACGCTGTAACCACTAGACTACTTCACCACCAGAACAGTGAGACAACTAACGCTTAAACCACGTGGCTACCCTCCTGCCCCAATTCAACCGCAGCAGTACCATCAACACGCAATTAATGACATCTTGGATTGCCCTCAGCAGCAAGCAGTTACAGCTGATGCTAAAATGATCTTTTCACTCCCCCTAGAGCAAAAGTTTCTTGTCATTGAGTGAGTGGTCCATGTGAGCTGCTGACAAGACATGGTCAGGGACAAAACATCTGTCATGTTTACGATATAATACCTTAGACAAATGTTTCTGGTTTTTCTGCCTCTCATAAGCAATACAGGAAGAGACTAATCACACTTAAACCAACTGTGACAGACAGACCAACATACCAGGTATATTCTGTAAGGAATGTATTTGAAGGAGTCTTCTACAGTAGTCTCCATCAGCCTCTTGTTCACAGACCAGAACTGCTCAAACTTGTCTGCAATGAGAAACATTGTTTGATACCAAGAGTCTTACTACAATAGCACACAACCAACCCCATAGTCAGGCAGTCCTCTGCTTTATCAACAGACTTATTTCCCTCCTCTTACTCCTCCCATCCCTTACTCCTACTCTCTTACATTCACACCCCTCCTCCACCTCATACCCTCCCCCATCCCAGTTTTTAACACACACCTTCCCCAACATCCATCAACACTTTCAACAAATCGCCCTGCCGACCCTCCAACATCCCAACATCTATCAACACTTTTAACAAATCGCCCTCCCGACCCTCCAACATCCCAACATCCATCAACACTTTTAACAAATCGCCCTCCCGACCCTCCAACATCCCAACATCCATCAACACTTTTAACAAATCGACCTCCCGACCCTCCAACATCCCAACATCCATCAACACTTTTAACAAATCGCCCTCCCGACCCTCCAACATCCCAACATCCATCAACACTTTTAACAAATCGCCCTCCCGACCCTCCAACATCCCAACATCCATCAACACTTTTTCAACAAATCGCCCTCCCTCCACCCTCCAACATCCCAACATCCATCAACACTTTTAACAAATCATCAACCTCCCGACCCTCCAACATCCCAACATCCATCAACACTTTCAACAAATCGACCTCCCGACCCTCCAACATCCCAACATCCATCAACACTTTCAACAAATCGACCTCCCGACCCTCCAACATCCCAACATCCATCAACACTTTCAACAAATCGCCCTCCCGACCCTCCAACATCCCAACATCCATCAACACTTTTAACAAATCGCCCTCCCGACCCTCCAACATCCCAACATCCATCAACACTTTTAACAAATCGCCCTCCCGACCCTCCAACATCCCAACATCCATCAACACTTTTAACAAATCGCCTCTCCGACCCTCCAACATCCCAACATCCATCAACACTTTCAACAAATCGCCCTCCGACCCTCCAACATCCCAACATCCATCAACACTTTTAACAAATCGCAGCCCCCGACCCTCCAACATCCCAACATCCATCAACACTTTTTAACAAATCGCCTCTCCCGACCCTCCAACATCCCAACATCCATCAACACTTTCAACAAATCGACCTCCCGACCCTCCAACATCCCAACATCCATCAACACTTTCAACAAATCGCCCTCCCGACCCTCCAACATCCCAACATCCATCAACACTTTCAACAAATCGCCCTCCCGACCCTCCAACATCCTACTCCTGCTGCTCACCGTTCTGAAGTCCTGTCCACAGCTGTTTGTGGTCCTTCTTCTGCATGTTATTGACCACCTGGCTGCGATGTTTGAGGGCGTCTGCCTCCTTCACCACTGACATGAAGTGAGACTCGACAGCCTCCTTGTTGGGACAGTGCAGCAGCTCATCCTCAGGGAAGTGCTGGAACAGGGACCAAGGCTAAAACCTGGTTCTTCACTGGCTTAGGAACAGTTCATAATTTATGGCTAGAGGGGGGGTCACCAAATTTGTTCTGTGGAGGCAGGGGGTTCATGAATTTTGTATGCATGTACTGGGGGTGGGGGTGGGGTCAACAACTTTCTACATAGAAATATTTAAAAAATATACTTAAAAATTATAGGAAGGAGGGGGAGGGTAAAAAAAAATTCCTCTTCATGAAACATAATCCAAACAATTTCCCCAGTTCATCTTCTGCAACACACTCACCTGAAAGTGGACTGTTACATTCCATGGCAAGCTTGTCCCTGATCCATAGAGATCAAACAACACTCCAATGGGGTAGTGCCTGTAAACATTCACATAGGTCAAGTTATGTACATTCAGCAGATAATGGTCACCCAACACTGAAGAAGCAGTGCACACAACATCAACATAAACTAAATCTCATCAGCATTATGTTCACTAACAACCCAGAGGCAGCTGTTTGAAGATACTAAATATTTTGATTGATGAAAAAGTGGTTGTTGCTCCTAGCAAGCCTGTGGTTCTACTGTCATGTGAGTGAGTTTAGTTTTATGCCACACTCAGCCATATTCCAACTATATGGGGCGGTCTGTAAATAATCGAGTCTGGACCAGACAATCCAGTGAACAACAACACGAGCATCGATCTATGCAATTGTGAACCGATGACATGTGTCAACCAAGTCAGCAACCCTGACCACCCGATCCCGTAAGTCGCCTCTTACGACAAGCATGGGTTACTGAAGATGAATTCTAACCCGGATCTTCAAGAGTTCTACTGTAATGTACAACATGTTGTCATGAAATATACCCTATATATCCTATAGAATGAAACATTCAGATGTACTGGACTTAGCAATGCTGCTTCAGTGCCAGGTACCATGTGCCAGCTTTAAGATCAGGTCCTGGACATAGGGTATGTCACTTGGCAAGGATAATGACTGTAGTGTATCTTTACTCCCTCTTTTCCTCTTCAAATCAATTTTAAACCAATCATTACAAATTAATAATTCAGCTTAAAATGTTGGTCAGGATATAATTTGCACATTAATCGCTGAAGCAGGGTTCATCTAATAAAAGTTAGCAACTTTCAAACATCATGACCTTCAAATTTGTGCTCATGACAAGGAGTGTTTTATCAGCATGATAACAATAAATATAATCACATTTGCTTAACTCACCATTTGAGTGGCTGACCTTCGAACTCCAGCCACATCTCCCCCCTGGTTTTCAGCTTCCACACTCTTCAGGAAGTGTTTCTGTACCTTGTCAGTCACTAAGGGGAAATAACTCTGTCGGGGCACCAACAACTAAAAATATGGTAAAGAAATTAAAATATTTAGAGAACACTCAGAACAGACATCATGTTGTATGTCTATGTTAACATTTGGACCATTACCAGTGATATTTAGCAGCGGCCTACTTACTTAGCCTTAATAAAAATTAGTACACTTGACTCAGTTCAGCAGCTTGTTACTGACTGTTATTTTCATGAAATAAACTTGAGCTTACCTTACCTTATGACCATGAGCAAAATATTGTCTCTACACAGTGAACTATCTAAAATGCACTTGAACATTATAACAGTGTATGAAATAATCCAAAAACCCAGCCAGACATCTGGGCTGGTAACTTCAAAAACTTACCAGCCCAGAAGAGGTTTAACCAGTGAGTGCCAGTGAGCATGTTATCGGAATATTTTTTTCACCCGTCCACCGCTAGCCGTAAAATTAGACCATCCGGCAGAAATCTAGCCCGTCTCGGGCGTTCGGACGGGCTTTATTTCATACACTGATTATAATGATGATGGTGTTTGAACACCATGGCAAACAGGATCCAGAGGAAAACAGGTTTGAGAAGGTAGAGTTTTTTCTGCTTTTGTCAATATTTCAGCAATACAAAATCTTGCTTTCAAATTGGAATGGAACCTTAGGTCTTCAAACCATTACCATACCCTGGATCATTTCATGGTAACATTTCAAACAAAACAAAATCTTTTTCACTCTCAAAATCTAGATGACTCATTCTCAAGCAGAGCTCTCTAATTGGATATTATCAAAAAGCTGATGTAAATGTATAGACATGAAGAAATATATACACAATACAGGATCATATTACAGCCCTTACATAATAGGGATCAGGCTGTTCAACAGTTTCAATTTCTTCTGAAGCTAGGGCAAAACACACTGGGATTCGTCCTTCCCAGACCTCGCGGAGAATCTCTCGGTCTTCAGCCATATTTCTCCTCTTCAAATTCCTGAAATGAAATAAAGAGACAAACATTTTTGAAACCTAGAAAAACAATGTTAAATGAATGCCATCAAAGGAAAGTCAATAAGATTTCTATCCTCATTAGATTTATGATAAAGAAATAACTACCAAAACTCTTTTATTCACAAGATGAACACTGTCCAATATGACAACTAGATCAATACACTTCAGCAATTGACAAGAGTTTTAGATGAAAGTCAACACTGCTCATATTATTAGGAGAGTCAGTTGGCACAAGTGAAGTACCCATCCAACATGTGAAGTTGTTGAAAGGGTGCAGCATATTGTTACATTATTCTATTATTGAAATCAGTGGCTTGGTGGTCTATACTGTTACCATGGTTACTGTAAGTTTTAGTACGGAAGAATGAAGAAGCATGTATGTTTTACAAATCACTCTAGCAATATTCCAGCAATATATCACCCCAGGAAACACAAGGAATGTACTTCAAGTTCTGGAATGGTGCAACCTCATGAAATTCACATCTCTTACTCTGATACAAGTATATGTTTGTTTGCATCAAGATCTGAAAAACTTGCACAGAAAGCAACACTAGGTAAACCCTAAGTATACTTGGACGGCCTAATCACAAAGGACTGACTGACTGACTGAGTTTGGTTTTACGCCGCTCTTAGCAATTTTCCAGCTACATCATGGTGGGAAGACACCAGAAATGGGCTTCACACATTGTACCCATGTGGGGATTCAAACCCAGGTCTTCGGTGTGATGAGTCAATGCTTTAACCACTAGGCTACCCCACCGCCCTTAATCACAAAGGAGGATGTGTAGGTGGTTCAGCTAATCAGATGTCTCATTTCTTCAGCCTCAGTTTCTTGAGGATAGACCCTTTTGGTTGTATGTGCCATGTTATGCACAAACAGGATTCACAATATATCCAAAACAATTCAACAACAGTGCATTATTTCTTTTCATTTAAATTTCCTCAACGATATACCTTTTGGAATTACAGAGATATGTGTTTTGCTTCCTATTACCAAGGATTTAGAAGCATCTGATTTCATAGCTCACCGCCTATTGAGGTGTGCTCAGATCACCAAATAGAGTGATATTCTACTGGAGTAAAACATCTCATGGAAGTTACAGGGTTTTGACATGACATTAATGACATTAACATGGCTGTTTGAATGTCACTTAATCGTAGAGATGATTCCTCCAGTCATACGAATGAAGACATGAAGCATTAATGATTCTGCATATCAAAACGACCTGGAATGTTTTTATTGCTGAATCAATCAATCAATCATGCATGCATGTATAAATGTAACTTAATTAGACTCTAAAAGTCTAAACAATGCCCCAACTAATTCAAAAGTGCAATCCCTGGCTTATAAATGAAATACATGAAATACTACTTTCACACAAACACATCTTTTAGCATGTCATTTGTTCAGAACGAGAGACCATTAACGATATATGATGTCTGATCTCGTCAGTACTAATAGACATTATTTCATGGCGTTGTAAGATTAAGTTAAACGTTTAGTCAATAAACAAAACGCCTCATAATTACTTACTAAAAATGCAAACGGTTTGTAGAAATGCGCAAAACTGTAATTAACAGACCGGTGTCTTACATGAAGAACAGTCCGTTAGTGGATATGTCAGATTGTTGACAGTAACCCAGGTGCTGTCAATGGGTGTTGACAGTGAGTCAAAATGCCAGTCAGCTGACAAAATTAACAAAGTACATATTTGGCGTCCCGTACAAATGATTTACCTTCCACCGACGAGGAGCCTTTTAAAAGTCCAAGTCTTTATCTGGACTCTATATGGACCGACACAGGATTTGCATTAAGATAACTGACAACATTCACGATTTATGTGCGAAATCAGAAACATTGGTCGGTCGACTTCCTCACTTACAAGGGGAATGAACTCTGAACACCGCATTATTGCAGACCACACAAAAGTGTTCTGACGTTCGTCGGCCGTCATCCTGGTTTCCGTGCCTCTCACCTTTTATAGTTCCCGGGCCTCTCATCTAGTTATATCTCCTTATATGGCCCGGGAACCCGGATGGTCGGCCTTTAGATGATTCACATTTTTCATCTATTTTTTTTTTCTACAAGACAGAATTTATCAAAATGTATTCAACAATAAATGACCATAAATGCAATACATAGTTATGCTGGGAACAACGAACCTTTCACAGACTGGCCATGCCTCATGTTTAATTTCTTTTCAAATCTACCAAATTTCATTAATATGAATAATGAATACGTCATGAAAACCTTTGACAAGTATGTTCATTCATTCCTTATACCATATGTGTCATAGTTACCACAAAAAAAGTCAAAAGTTACGAATTTCTGAATGGTACGTCGGTGTTTACCAGTACTAAAGTAGTTTTTGTAATAGGCGATGGAGGCATTGTTCATTTTCCGCGTAAAGTAAGACGATTTTGAGCTGTTATCTTAAATATTTTTATGAAATGTAAATCCTACAAATAAGTTTTCTTAGTAGAGTGTGTGAGGAGTGTACTAGACAATATAGCTGATCAATACTAAATGGCTGAAATGGCACCTGGAGGGATTCAGGGGTGGAAAAAACCCATTGCCCGACGCCCGACGTCCAGTGTTTTTTTCTGTCGGGCAAGCAAATTTGTATATCACACTGTACCGGTGTCCAGTTGATATTCCAATGTTAATTATGTTGTTTGTTTAAAAAATCAACAAGAAAATGGCCGGTATAGTGGAAAAATTATCAGGGCAAGTGATTTTACATGTGCCACTGTACCCGAGTACACTAGCAATTTTAAAGTTATTTCCACCCTGCCGGGATGGATGTTTAGTAATTGAGGTCAAATATATCATATTTCAACTGGATTCATAGTTTATCATTATACTTGTATGTTATATCAAATTTTGCTTTAAAAGACTTTTGGAAAAAACAGCAGAAACTGCGTATAAAACTGTTTGGAATTAGAAAATACGAATTCTCCATTTTGATTTAAGAAGAAAAAATAATAAACAATATTTCAAAGTCTTTCCTTTTTTTGGGAACAATCACTCTGTTGTAAATATATATTTTCATTCCCAGAAAATATTGTTGATGAGAACAGCTCAAAGACCAGCACCCTGATTCCCGGGAAGTGCAAACACAGCATACACCGTGAACCAGCTGGGTTGAAAGACAAAAAGCTAAAGGGTTATCGCCCTTGTTAACACTCTTCAGTCTTTGACTTTCACGTCCAACATGGCGACCTTCAGGAGTGTTTTGCATGCAAGCAAAGTGTTTCGCCCATGCATAACTAACAGATCCATCAAGACCTCAGCGGTAGTTTCAAGTATGTACTGTAAACTGAGTCTTTACTTTGAGTGTTTAATCAGTATCACGTCAAGTCGGTAATACTCAAGAGTATGCATTCACTGAAGCGCCCGAAAATATTTACTGACCTAAACTTAGGCTAAACTCTAAAATCTGAGCGCAAACATGTTGTGATCCAAATGATTCCACTAGTTTCAGTTAAAGCAAAATACACTGTGACTGGAAGAACAAAAAATAGTTGTCAAAATTCTCAAAACGTGAAATACAACTGAAAGCAACGAAATGAGATGAGAATCAGTGAGAATTTTAAGTCTAATATAAACAATATAAATTTCTCCTTTCATGAGATAGTAAAACGTCAATTGATTATTTGTTACAGATTGGAATAAGGATTGGAAGCCAGGTCCATATCCTATGACCCCAGAAGAACGAGCCAATGCTGCCAAAAGATATGGGTTGCGGGTCGAGGATTATGACGTGTATGCAGATGATGGTACTGGATATGGAGACTACCCCAAACTTCCACATGTATCTGGAGATGTCAGGGATCCAAATGAGGACTGGGATATACCAGAGATAAAAAGAAACTATGGTGAACCTGTATGTTGATTAAATATTTAAACTATGTAAATGTTGACGTTATTAAAGAAGTTCATCATTAGGTGATTGTGGAATTTGAATTTTGTGAAATGTGACTAATTATATGAATTAATTATACGTGTGCTTACAAATACAATATCCTGTTTATTTTCATGATTAATGCAGGCTCCTTATGAAATTAAAAAGTGTGATGAAAATGTTTTATATATTTCAGTTGCATGTGGACCATGATATGATTGGTGAAGACAGGTACAACATCAACGCCAACCCCAGACTGTCATAGTAAGTTTATGATAAAATTTGTTGCATTTCCTAATACATTTGAGAAACAAGTCAATGTGATTCATAAAGTGTTGTCACAGATAAAGAATCAGCTTCAAAGCCTAGTCCCAATAAGGATTGTATAACAGTATTAGCATGAAACAAGTCTATTTCACAAGATGAATCAGCAAGAGACGAGTTGTAAAATATATGGATCTACTGCTTGTGATGGAGAAACTGAGATGTTTAAACCTATGTTTGCAAGTAAAATGCTGTTTTTTCTACATTTTGTTTCAAAGATGTGTCGAAGTAGAGATCTGATAACCCTGAAAATACTAAGCACTGTGTGGAAATTACACAATACCCATACCTAATAGTATAATCATGATAATGATCATAACTATCATTTCTAATGTCTGGCATATTGATTTCAGTCGGACAATGTTCCTATCAACTGGTGCTTTCCTTGGTACAATATTAGCAATCTATATTCTGACAGAACCATACCCACACTTTCTGCCAGTGGTAAGTAGAAGTTGTTTTTCACTGTATTAGTATGCTTTTATATAGACTCTCTGTGGTATAGTATTCCTTCCCAAAAGAGGGTGAACAAAAGTCTGGGTGGTCTCTGGATCAATCCCCAATTCAGGCTGCCTGTGTTGCTTTATTTGTCAGCACCATGACCCTAGGTTTTACCACACCACTGAACTGAAATATTGTTTGAGTGAGTGAGTTAAAATTTAATGTCACATCAGCGATATTTCAGCTATATCATGACCAGATAAGTTTTGCAATTCTTAATAAATACAAGTTGTTATAAATCCAGCTGTCAAAGGACTGTAAATAATTAGAGTATCACAGATGGTGTATAAAACTAGCATGTAAATCTAAAACTATTTTACTATTGAAGACAATTCAAGAATAGACGTATTCGCTGTGTTAATTGATGCTGTCTTGATGGAATACGAATGCTGAAATTGATATATGCTGGTATATCACTTTCAAGTACACCTCACCTGGACCTAGGTTTTCGAAGCTCTCCTAGTGTTAAGGTGGTCAGAAATGCCCTACATTAACATTAACTTACGACTATCTTAGCTCTAAGAGAGCTTAAAAATCTAGGCCCTGGATTGGATTCCCCACACCGAGTGAAGCCCATTTTTGATACACCCATCATGCTTGAACATACAGATAGGTGCCTGTGTTTGTGTTTCAGATGCCTAAACAACACCCATTCAACAACCTCTACCTGGAAAACGGTGGTGAGGCAGCACAGGAGAAAGCAGTGCAACACTACACATTTGAGCCGGCAGATTAATGGGACCGCATCTAGGCATATTGATTGTACATAATGTATGAATGAAGCTTTCTCCTTGAGACACCGTGTTAGCAGGATGAGGCTACATCAGGCCATTGTTGGAAGTGAACTATTTGTGATTGTGTGGAGTCTATTGGCCGTTTCGAAACTACAAAGAAGAAAAGCTGAACTTTATACATGGCTTCTAATGAGTTGTAGTAATGTATTCTGTTATTAAATACTTATGAAACAATGTGGGTTATTTTGTCTCTGAAAATTTAGGGGCAATATAGATGTTTTGTCACGTGGTTGCATAAGAGCTGATAAATGCTACAAAATGTTGACAGGTACTTGTGAATACTGGAACACTTTCTTAACCACAATTTCCAGAAGTCCAGAAATCATGTTTTTGTTTGTTGTTTAACACCGCACTCAGCACTATGCCAACTATATGGTGGTGGTCTGTAAATAATAAGAGTCTAGATCAGACAATCAAGTGATCAACATCATGAGCATCGATCTATGCAACTGGGATACCATGATGACATCTCAACCATGTCAGCAAACCTGAAATCATGACACAATACAGCACATTTCAAGTTGGACTTCATTCCTTGGTTTGGGGAAATACATGCCCACAGCAACAGCATTAGTACCAAACTGTAGCAGCTGACTGACCTGAGTGTGTATATGAATGGATGACAGTACTTGTGATCTGCCCAAGAACAGCTGCAAGATGCTACGGAATGGATTGTCATTAATTTGGGTGGTTTGGTTGATTGTGTGTTGGCATACACTGATGACAGGAATTGACATGAATGTCATAGTGTATGAAATATGCAAAACTAGTACTAAAGAAATTGCTTATTGAAAAACATTCAAGGGAGGTCTTGAAAGTCTATGAAGAAAATCCAGTGAACCGTTCTTAACTTATCTTGCTGACAATTCAGGTTAACATTCTGAAATCTTCATAGTGTCGTCGTGACCCTAAAGTGAAGGTCACCAAAATTGACTGGGCCCTGCGCCTTCCCTAGATGAAGCTTGGTGTCAAATATGAAGAAAATCCACTGAATAATTTTTGCGATATCTTGCTGACTATCTTAACAAGCAATTTAACATGCTGAAATCTTCAAAGTGTCTCTGTGACCTTGAAAATTAAGTGAAGGTCACCAAAATCAACTGGGCCCTGCGCCTTCCCTGGATGAAGCTTGGTGTCAAATATGAAGAAACTCCAGTGAATGGTTCTTGAGGTGTCTAGCTGACAAGCATAACATGTCTTCAGGTTAATATGCTGAAAATCTTCAAAGTGTCTCTGTGGATAAAGCTTGAAAATTAAGTGTGAAGGTCACCAAAATTGAATATGCTGAAATCTTCAAAGCCCTGTGCCTTGCCTTCCTGGATAAAGCTTGGTGTTAAATATAAAGGAAACTCCAGTGAAGGGAGGTATCTCGAGACAAGCATAACATGTAGGTAAAATATGCTGAAATCTTCAAAGTGTCTCTGTGACCTTGAAAATTAAGGTCAAAATTGACTGTCACGCCTTCCCTGGAAACCTTGACTTGAAGACCTTTCTTGTAGTGTGTGACCTTTGAACCTAGGTACCAAATTGGATGAAAGGTACCAAAATCTAGTGAACAGTTCTTAAGATATTTCAATTCAGATGCGATGACGGACCAACGGAGCCGTGTGTGCTATCCGGACTTGTGTGTGGTGTGTGCTGTCCGGACTTGTGTGTGGTGTGTGCTGCTGTCCGGACTTGTGTGTGGTGTGTGCTGTCCAGACTTGTGTGTGGTGTGTGCTGTCCGGACTTGTGTGTGTGGTGTGTGCTGTCCGACTTGTGTGTGGTCTGTGTTGTCCGGACTTGTGTGTGGTGGGTGCTGTCCGGACTGGTGTGTGGTGTCCAGACTTGTGTGTGGTGTGTGGTGTCCGGACTTGTGTGTGGTGTGTGCTGTCCGGACTTGTGTGTGGTGTGTGTTGGCGGACTTGTGTGTGCAGTCCAGACTTGTGTGTGATGTGTGCTGTCTGGACTTGTGTGTGGTGTGTGTTGGCGGACTTGTGTGTGCAGTCCAGACTTGTGTGTGATGTGTGCTGTCTGGACTTGTGTGTGATGTGTGCTGTCCGGACTTGTGTGTGGTGTGTGTTGGCGGACTTGTGTGTGTAGTGTGTGCTGTCCTGACTTGTGTGTGTTGTCTGGACTTGTGTGCAGTGTGTGCTGTCTGGACTTGTGTGTGCTGTCCGGACTTGTGTGTGTTGTGTGCTGTCCAGACTTGTGCTGGTCCACCATACAGCAGGCTAACATGGATACCCCAGACACAGGCCAAGATTAGAACTGACCCGTGAAGATCCGGGGTAGAATAGGTCTTCAACCCATGCTTGCCACAAAAGGCGACTATGCTTGTCGTAAGAGGCGACTAACGGGATTGGGTGGTCAGGCTCGCTGACTTGGTTGACACATGTCATCGGTTCCCAATTGCGCAGATCGATGCTCATGTTGTTGATCACTGGATTGTCTGGTCTAGACTCGATTATTTACAGACTGCCGCCATATAGCTGGAATATTGCTGAGTGTGGCGCAAAACTGAACTCACTCACTACCGACCTTCCACTCTGCTAGCATAATGTCTATCCACTTGTCCAAGGAGAACATAGGAAGTGGCAGAGGAGGTGAGGTGAGGTGAAATTGGGTTTAACGTTGTGCTGGAGAATATTTCGCTCATATGACGACATGCATGCATGTGTATGTGTATGTGCGGCTTCTTGTACTAACCCAGACTGAAGCTGGTTTTATAGTGCTAGCCAACTGAGATACCATGCCGCAGTGAAGCATGAATACCCCACTCAGACACATTATACTGACTCCGAGCCGACCAGTCCTTGTTGTACCCATTAATGCCGAACGCCAGGTAGGGACCAACAAGTACCATATTTTAACGTCTTTTGGTATGACGCGGTCGGGGATTGAACCCACGACCTTCCGCTCTCGGGGGACGCTCTACCCACACCACGGAGGCGGTCCGAATTGGCAGAGGAAGTTATGCAGGTATTGTGGTCTGGTCTTGGACTGACTGACTGAGTTTGGTTTTATGCCGCTTTTAGCAATATTCCAGCAACATCATCGGCGGGGACACCAGAAATGGGCTTCACGCATTGTGCCCATGTGGGGATTCGAACCCGGGTCTTCGGCGTGACGAGCCAACGCTTTAACCATTAGGCTACCCCCCGCCCCTCTGGTCTTGGAAAACCGATGAACAATAGACTGATCACAGATCAGCAACATCTGGGCACAACTTATGTTGGCTCTTACAAGTCAAGACTGGTGTAGACTCTTTTGTTCAGTCATACCTGAGGTTTCATGCCTGTTTAGTCCCAGACTTCCAAAACAGGAATTTCAAACATTTAAAACAGACAGTAACAAGCATCAAGTTTAAAGTTGACAAAGAGAAAAAAGACAAACACTACTGCACACAAACTGATAAATGCATTTATTTTGCATCACATGAAAACATTACATGTAACATGATTTTGTCATATATCTAACAAAGAAACCACCCCTCTCTACAAAAGTGAATATCGAGATATTAATAAATAAATCCATGAATTGTTCACAAGTTGATCCTGAACACCATGGCCTAGTCAGTCTCTCACAATCATATTGCTTTTGTCCCTTTTTGAAAAAAACAACAACACTGGCCGAGGTTAGCATCTTAGCAGGAAATCAGATGTTAAACGTCTGTAAATTCATTAAAGTCATCCCATCCACCTAAAACAAATTATGGTGTAAAAGAGAAAACAACTTAGTAGATTTGCTTGAAAACCTGAATACATTCATATTAGACTTAAGATACACTTCCACTAACCCTGTTATTATTATTTCATATTCTTAAGAACTGTAAGACACGTTTTCAGATTCCGTGTTTTTGTTTCTGATGGCTTTTTAAATACAACAATCCATTCATAGCATTTGTTTTATTCAGTTCGGAACAGACAATCCATTGATCAACACCAAGGTCATTGATCTACTTAAATGCCATGATGCCATGCATCAACCAAGTCAGCAATCCTTACCGCCGAATCCCATTAGTCAACCCTTACAACAAGCAGGGGTTGCTGAAGGCCAGTTCTTACCAGGGTAACAGGTCCATTGATGTAGAGAAAGAAACATGATAGTAGTCACTTATCCACATGTACAATAACGTGCTGATCATGGGTTTCTGTACTTTGTAAGTTTCTGTGATAAAGCATGTGGTAAGGTAAAGGTTGGCTTGAGGAACTACTTATCCCGCCCTGCCCTGCCCAACCCTGCCCCCCCCAGCCACAAACTGGCATAATGAGGCTGATGAGACTCTTCCTATGTGGCACCACAATGGTATCTAGAAGGTGATTCTGGCAAAGTTAAGCGCTCCCAAAAGACATCTTGAAGTACTGGCAAATAAATCTATGGATTGAAATCTAAAGCATGATAAAATTACAGTTGGCTGGGGATGCCTGCTTTGCTCAGACATGAACTGTCTTCATATTTAATAAGTTAAATTCAACATGCATGATTTCAAAAATATATTCTAAATTGAAAAGCAGAAAAACAGTTCCCAGCCAAGATGAGTCTAATACTCAAGCAGTGGAACAGAAACTGCTCATCATAACTCCAGATTGTCTCAAGTTCTTATTTCCAAATACCATTACCTGTTTGAGTCAAACAATTTATAGGCATTTCCCAAAATGTGAGACAAAACGGAAAACAAAAACAATAGATCCTTACATATTTGTAGTCTCAAGAATCTGCCCGTTACCACCATATGCAAGTACATACCATTCATTCACCCTTGCCACTGGCACAGCATAACAGATTTTGCTGCAATAGATTGCAAGGTTGTCATACGTACAACATATTGATTGTCAACATTAGTTACAGCCTCTTTATGAGGCATTTAGAAGGTGTAGTATCAATCAACACAGTCAACATTAAGATTTCACACTGAAACAGGTGCTTGTACTTTCACCCAACAAATTCAGGTGCTAGCGTCTTCACCCAAACAAGCATATGTGCTTGTATCTTTTCCAACAAGTACAGTTACTTCTGTGTTTATCCAACAAGTACAGTTACTTCTGTTTATCCAACAAGTACAGTTACTTCTGTGTTTATCCAACAAGTACAGTTACTTCTGTGTTTATCCAACAAGTACAGTTACTTCTGTGTTTATCCAACAAGTACAGTTACTTGTGCGTTTATCCAACAAGTGCAGTTACTTCTGTGTTTATCCAACAAGTACAGTTACTTGTGCGTTTATCCAGCATGGGGTTTGTAGAGTTGTAGACACCTGTACTGAAACCTCAGACTGTAAGAATCAAGAAACCGAGTCAACTCTAAATGCCATAATGAAACAGGTAAATTTAAAAATCTCCAATGGTGCCAACTGAAGGAATAGTTAGAAAATCTTGTATGGGAACTGTGATGTATATGTTACACACATCCACTTCCTATGTGTTCCTGGCATTACAGAACAAAAGCCATTCAATTACAAAAATGGATTCTTTGAATAAAATTTCACTTTATCATCCTAAAATTTGAATATGCATTTGTTAATTGATGGTTCTTGTGTTGAGGTCAGGAAATATTTTTGGCAATTTGGCATGACTAGAGAAAGAAAAGTGATTTGTAACTATCATGAGTGTATATTATCAAGACAAGTGTGTGAGCCCAGTTCAGCGCCACTTTCTGTAGTATTCCAGTTATATGACTGCTTAATAAGTGAGGAAAGCACATGGTAATGCAGGTCTCAGCAGTGTATGAAATAAGCCAAAAACCCAGCCAGACATCAATGTGGATTTAACCAGACCAGACACCAAGATATGTATGGAACATCTAAAAGTTTTACCAGATCATCGGGATGGCTAACTGTAGATCTAGACCGTCCGTCAGAAATCTACCCCAGCTCGGGCGGTCGGACAGGCCTTATTTCATACACTGGTCTCAGCTGTTTACCTCTTCTGTGAAACAACAAGGGGCACTGTCAACTTGATAATTGATGCAAACTTGGATGTCGACCTACAGTCATAGGTTCCTGGCATATCCAAGGGAGGCAACTCTGCACAGTGAACTTCAGCCCCTTGACAACCAAACTACCCAGATACATAGCAACTCTGCTTTTACAAAATAACTATTGTGGTTACAATGTTAGTACTAACAATCAACAACTAAACTAAAACATCACTTTGCATATTGGAGAATCTCTTCAAATAAATACATACATGGCCTCTACCAAGGGTGATACAATCTCCTAACTGCTAAAGACAAATATCATGGGGATGAAGATACTGAACATTTGTAACACACGTCAATGTATTTGTATCAGGAACATCTGCATGACACCATTAAGTAGATTAGCAGCGGTAATTTTATCCGAACATTTGTAACACACGGCAATTTTATCAGGAACTCTCATCTTGAAACAGAATTCTTATCTTGAAACATCTTGTGTGTGGTCACTCTTAAACAGCTTCTCAAAGACTTCTCAAATGGAATAAGGCGAGTAGAGTCTCGTAACCTCAGGGACGTCAGCTTTTTTTGGAAACAATGCTTAAGAACAGACAAAATGTGATTACTGAAAGTCAACATTGTTTAAGAGAGTGACTAGCCTCTCTTAACCAAATAATTACAAAATCATGCATAAAACTGCATGTTGTTTTACTGGGTCAAATGGTGAGCTGTTGAATCTTGATATCATCCTATGATATAATTTGTTATGTGATATCATGTATCAAGATATTTTCACTTAAACACTTCTGTATCAACATGTTGTGATTGTTCTGAATTAAGAATTTTCAACTCTAAGATTCCCCAATAAAATTTTGATCTCAAATACTCATAACTTTTTACAAAAAGTATTAAATCACACAAAGCAAAGAACAGAGTTGCTGACAAATTCTCAAGAACACTGCTTCTGCTTCTCTCCAGTAATGTATGTTGAAAATATCCGTTTAAAAACTGTGTGGCCTTCCAACTCTGCAAAAAGCCATCACACGAGTAAACATATCTCAAATAGAAACAGAAGACAAAAATGCTAGTATCCCAGCACAACTTCCATCAATTCAAGCAAACAAAGGGCTTCATGCCAAAACCATACCACTCCAAAGAGGTAAAGAACACTAGATTCCGGTGTTGTGACGTCATGCCAAAACCATACCACTCCAAAGAGGTAAAGAACACTAGATTCCGGTGTTGTGACGTCATGCCAAAACCATACCACTCCAAAGAGGTAAAGAACACTAGATTCCGGTGTTCTGTGACTCATTTTCTTTAGTATAGTAACTATTTCCAAGAACACATTAAATAATACTTATCTTCTCTACCTGAACAATATTTCAAACAATTCCTAAAACTTTCAAATATCACATTCCTAAAGCTCACAATGATGTCAACCCTTTTACATTCATTCAACAAAATACATTAACATGGGCGACTCAAGGAATCTGATTCTTCCATAACACCATAGTTAATCTGTAATGCTTTAACTACAGTACTATGAAGACTCAGGTGTTTCTTCACTTCTAATGAGTGGTATATCAATGTATCATTAACCCTATTGTATACTATTCACACTTTGCTGAGGATCAGATCATTGATTCAACAGAAAACTATGATGTGAGGTCTAATTTGAGTTTAAATATCTAAGCCTATTGTAAGCATGGATCCTAGGTTTCAGTATGTTACTGCATCTTGTGGATCCCATACCTGCTATTGATAGGTGTTGTGTACTTGTCAATGACTCGTTCCATGACTTGCAAAATGGTTGATTGGTGCCATGAAAACCATTTTAATGGTTACTCATGTATCAAGTGCATAAGGTTAGATTAAAGTGGCTGTTGCCTAAAGAAGGGTTACCATATTATTATTTATCCAGTTTTAAATGGATACAATTTCAAATTATAAATCAATGTTTAAGTAAAGTTGGGAATTTGTGTGATCCTTAGCAAAGTGTGAGTAGTATATGAACTAGGTGACATTTGATTTAGACAAGACTTTATTTATTTTGCTTCTTGCCAATACATCATATTTAGGACACTTAAAACATGTTGATCTTGAATCATTTTCATGTCATGCCAGTTGAATTCGGGGAAATAAAACAACAAAAACACAACAGAAAAATGGTCCTACAGTCAATACATTGATTACTGGCACATTCTTTGTCAACATTCTTTGTCAACATTCTTTGTCAACACTCTCAGTAGGGTCCCTTGGTCAAGCAAGAACAGAAACTAGTCTGAACTTAACCCGAAATTTACATAACGACAACAGTTGAGGATAATTAGTATTTGTGCTGCATGTATTTGTTGTGGCTTGCATTCCCCCTAAAACCAATCGTCTTCATTATCATTCCATCGGACATGATTGACAGGCAGCCGACATGTTTTAGTTCTGTTGAAGTTCAAAGCAAAACAATTGCTAAATAGCCTTAGCTGTGAAAATGAAGCAAGATGTTTGAGCACTACGGAGAGCAAATGTTATGCCTCCGCCTTCAGAGGAATGTTGGAATCTGAGTTTGAGAGGTTGTCTTCTGGAGAGATGCATTTCCACAAGCCGTATGTTTTGCCGACAGTTGTCTGCCACAAACGTAGAGTTCCGTCTTCACTGCCGCTGGCATATAACTCCCCATCAGGAGAAAACCTCACACAGTGTACTGGACCAAAATGTCCCTTGAACGATTCTAAAATGAAACAAAATGAAGGATTTACACAACAGTGAACATTATAACTTTCAACTGGAGGATTGTTAGGAGCCCAGGTGTCATTACAGTAGTCTCCCTTGGACATGATGCGATAATACTGACTGACTGAGTTTGGTTTTACGCTGCTTTTAGCAATTTTCCAGCAACATCACGGCGGGGGACACCAGAAATGGGCTTCACAAATTGTACCCGTGTGGGGATTTGAACCAAGGTCTTCGGCGTGACGAGCCAACGCTTTAACCACTAGGCTACCCCACCGCCCCGATGTGATAATAAAGGTTTTGAGGTGAGGTTAGGTGAAATGGGGTTTAGTGTCGCACTTAAGATTATTTTGCTGAAATGACGATGTGCATGCATGTGTGTGGCTGCTTGTTCCAGCCCAGACTTAAGCTGGTATTATAGTGCTAGCTCACTGAGATAACACCCCACAGTTAAGCATGAATACACTGACTCTGACCCGACCAGTCCTTGTTGTGCCCATTAATGCCGAAGCACCAGGCAGGGACCAACAAGTACCATATTGTAACGTCTTTTGGTATGACACGGCCAGGGATTGAACCCTCTCCGGGTGGTCACTCAAAACATAAAGGTTTTGAAGTCAGATGATGATGAGCTTTGTATGGTAATGGTGCAAACCCAGAAAAACATCTGGGTAAATCCCGGGTTCAAACTTATGCTTAACACATCAAGTCAGTTTAACACTCATACCACTGGGTCAAACATATTCCCCTAATCCTTTTGGTTCATGCATGTATCTGGAAACATATCATATTGCCAACATCGAGTGTTTAAAATCCCCACATTGTGCCAGTGTGAAGGCATCAAACATGTAATTTTATACTTATCCTGAATCATGCTAATTATGCTTGTCTCCTTCCTCTTGCAAATGATAGTGGAACACTTGAAATCCCTTGAAGTTCCTTTTGAAAAAGCGGAACGTAAAATCACTCACCCAGAGTAGCGTCCCTTCCCTCCCTTTGGCACCCAAAATGGTCACATGATCGGCCATACTTGTCACTCTCTCCGTATGTAAGCCCGACACCCGGATTTACAGGAAAAACCAGAGGGCTAACCTCATGAGTCAGGATAAGTATAAAATATCAATTTTAGTCAGAAAATTACATATTTTTCCTTATCCTGACTCATGCTAATTATGCTTGCAGAATCCGTCGGAAATGGTGGTGGGTCAAGCCACTTATAGATTCACTGGTTGTTGATTTACGTCCTGTTCTATCCCCCTTGGGAACTTATAACGGCACTTGTTGAAGATTCTTCCAACTTCTCTCTGATGAGTCTGGGGGACCACAACTTTTCAGATTTCTTCCGAAACTTCTCCCGACATTTTCGTGTGGATTTTAGATATACTAATATTCCATTAGTTATCTATTGCAACTCCATCTCATCCAGGGTCTATCACTCAAGCTAGTCTGTCCTAGACGTGTGCATGGAGTGGAGATGCGACCCTTCTTCATGTACAAGTATGTCCCATACATGTACAGGGTCTATCAGTCATGCTAGTCTGTCCTAGATGTGTGCATGGACTTTAACCATTTGCTCTCCAGAGCGTTGGTTTTCACAAGTCACGTGATAAAAAGGGAGAGATTTTCTCAGCGCCTTTGTGGAACCGTTAGTTGTTGTGCTACAACAAGTGGCCCAAACTGGTGAATGCCTGAGACATCTTCGGTGGCAATGTCTCTGAGATAGTGGTTGGTAAACACCGTGTTCGATCTCCAAAAGCAGCCCTCCATTATAGTTGTAATGGAGCAGTTTCCATGCAGAGCAAGTGTTGACGCCAGGGCTCTGACTTCATGTGGATTGGAGGCTTGTGGAGGCTCAAGTCCTGCTGCTTTATAGGCCCTTAGTATAACGGCTCTCATCCAGATCGATATAGTTGTCCTAGAGACTAGGGCATCTCAGTGGATAAGGGGATGAATAGGCGCTTGAATTTTCGTCTCCTTATTTTGTCCTTTGTAGGTAGACTTTTAGTGCTCTGACAGGTATCCTGTGGCCCAAGGACTGTAGAGAGTGCTGGGATGTGGAACTGTCTGTCAGGCTGGCCGGACAGTTGGTTCTTGGCAATAAAATCCCATCTCAGTCCTAGATATACGATGTCACGATGTGATGATTCAAATCGTGTTCGTTCGAAGTCCAGAGCATGTATTTCTGACATCCGTGCTGCTGTTGCTAGGGCGATAAGAAACAGCGTTTTCTGAGTCAGTAGTTCAAAGGATGTCCATTCTAGAGGCTCGTAGACATCACTGTTGAGTTGTTGTAGAACTATGTTGTGATCCAAGGCAGGAGCCTTGAATTTCTTTGTTGGTCTTCCAACTTGAACGAACGTAGTAGTGCCAGTATCTCTGGTACTTTGGTCAGCTTAACACCCGTCTTCATAGTGATAACTATGCTGAGAGTGTTGAACCTTTTAAGTGTCTCATCTGTCGCAGATGACACAGGTATTCCGCCACTTGAGGATGGGTTGCGTTTACTGCTGTAAAGCCTTTCTTCGTTGCATACTGTTCAAATCTCTGCCACTTGTCGTCGTACAAGTTGCGAGTGGATCTGTGTAGAGCTAGTGTTACTGCTTTCGGTGGTCTGGCGGAGTACCCTCTAGTCTTCAGGCAAGCTTTGATAAGCTCCACGTGTGTAGCTGGAACAATGCCGGATTCCCGTGAGCTTGCTTGGTGTGTGGATGGACGAGCAGGTTCGACCACTGTGATAGTTTCAGGGTTGGACTTCCGAGTTCTTGTATGAGGACGGGAAATCATTACCTCGCTGGCCAATAGGGCGCGCGACCAAAATCAGTTGCAGCTTTGTCGTCTGCTTGATTTTCTGTATTACTTGTGGTAGTAATGCTGGAGGTGGAAACGCATAAGCGTTTAGTCCTTCACATGAGATGCTTAAAGCGTCTGTTGCCCATGCCTGAGGATCCAGAATCGGAGAGACGAATGTTGGTAGTTGCTTGTTGCAAACAGGTCTACCAGTGGAGCTCCTATTGAGAGCCGGAACGCTTCTGGGTGTAACATCCACTCTGTCGGAGATGGTTGTAGTGGATGAGATAGGGCGTCTGCTATGACATTCTTTGCTCCTGGAATGTGGCATGCCTTCATGTAGATGTTTAGGTTGTCGACGATGCTGAACAGGAGAAAGCTGAGTTGTAGCAGACTTCTTGATCTTGTTGATCCTTGTTGATGTAGAATGCCACTGTGGAGTTGTCCGTGTGGACCCTGAGTCTTGCGTTCTTAGTACGCTGGACCAGTGTTGTAAAGCGTTGATCACTGCTGTCATCTCCAACATGTTGATGTGCAGACTCTGATCCTGACTCGACCACTTCCCTGCCGTCACTTTGTTGTCGAAGTGGGCACCCCATCCTTGTAGCGATGCATCTACGTAGAGATGAGTGTTGCAAACCGGCTCTGACAAAAAGGTTCCTCCACATACATTCGACTTCCGAGTCCACCATAGGAAGTATGGTTTCAGGCTGTCCGGTACTATCAGCGGAATCCATACTGTCGAGGTGGGCGTTCACAAATATTTGTAGTGGGCGCAGCTGTAGTCTCGCTCTGCGAGTCTTGTCTTGAGCTGAGTTGAGTAGACCAAGCATGCTTTGCCAAGCACGTAGTGTCAACGGAGAGAGCATTGCTTGAGATATCATATGTTGTATCTTGACCCAACGATCCTCTGGGACGACCGTGTCATTCTATGGTGTGATGAGCCATATTCCCAGAAATTGAAGATCCTGTTTTGGTTCCAACTCCGATTAGGAGATTACTAGCCATCTACTGCAATCATGTCCTACGCTGTAGGTATGTGGATCTAGGAGCCCTTGCCATGTCCATCATGGAAGCGGAGAGATGATCGATTCTGGAATCATGGCTTGAAGCTTGTCTCATCAATCTTCCGGTACTATGTAATGAAGATGTTGTCACCAGAAACCGAACAATGTGCAGCGATGATGCATAATACGTCGTCTCTAGATCAGCAAAATCTATGATGTACTGGGACTGCCATCGATGTGAAGTCTAGAAATCGTCTCACGCTTGCAAGTCCCCAGATAACCAATATTAAATCTGCTGACAGGGGAAGTCCTCTATGACCTGTGAAGACAGTCGAACCACGCTGTACCCTGCTAACTGGACTGTAAATGGAGCCTTACCCACATTGAAAGAGTTGTTTACAACTGTAGACGACTTGGCCTTGTCCGTAACCTTTCTGTTCGGCTTGTGCCGGAGTTACACGAGTGAACACATGTCTTGATGGCTGAGTGGAAGCGCGCGAAAAACTTCGTATTCTTCAACTTTATCATCTTTACTGCAGTCGTCATCTTATACAGATGTACTGTAAACTTGACCGTAACCGATGTCTCGCTGAGGAACTGCGACAATGCTGCTAACTGTCCCCTTGAAATCTTGTAACCCCTGTGATGAAAATTCATCTTCAGAGTTTCATCGGATGTTATCTGACATCGTTACTTCAGGTGTGGCGTCTCTTCCTTCAGCCACGCGTTGATCCAACATGGCCAACATCTAGTTGTAGTGTCCAGTTGCGTTATCTTCTTATCTTCCATCTTGAAGATCTATTATGGGATTCACTGATGATCTTGTAATCTCAAACCCTGATGTATCATGAAGGGCTCCGTATGATGAAGGGGAAATCTGCTATCGTTGAACGGCGGGACATGCTGACTCTGATTATAATCCTCCCCGTAAGTACCTGCGCGCAGGTTGATGAAGGTCCAAGTTGGAAGATCCGTATCTGCGCAGTCTGAAGAATCCTGGAGAACGACTGGATCTACTTCTGTGTTAGAATACTTCCTGCTGAGACGCTGAAACTGCGTGGAGGCTCCATCGTGGACTGCTGGCTTTTGTTGAATCCTCCAGGCTTCTAACCGCTGATACTTCTGACAGTAAGGATCTTCGTGAGCATAACCATTCGTGCAGGCCTTCATCCAAGAGAGCTTGTAAAGCTAATATTCCTTCACGCAGGCCGACTGTCATCGGAGGGGTCTGCTATGCTGAACTGACGTTAGTAGAGTTCTCCGACTTCTAACTTCAGACGGTGCAGTTGGACATTTCCTTATCTGAAGATCCATAATGACGTGAGTCTCTGTATGTAGATCTGTATGTGGAGCTGCGTGCAGGTGAACGGTCCCGGTGTGACCGTGTATTCCTCCTGGAGTCTTGAGATATCTCTCTAATCCTTCGCGCAGTCTTTTGATGGTCGTCAGAGTCCGATGGAGATGACGACTCATATCTGCGACGTCTGTAGGGTTCGGGAGAACGCCTCGATTCTTTCCTGCGTGAAGACTTCGTAGCAGCACTCTCTGGGGCGTCTCTGTCCGTGAGCCTTCGCGCAGGCTTCCTTCTTCATCCAAATGTGGTGGGGAGACTGTAGAGCCTTCACACAGGCTAGTAGACGTTGTAGCGGTCTTCATAGCAGCCTTCTCTTGAGCGAAGCGACGTTCCATCATCGATATCATCTGGTCTGTAACCTGTTGCATGAACAGTCCCGGGTTGAAGAACTGCGTTGTCTGAAGACACTGCTGCAGGGATGATGCATCTGATACTGAGGAGACGTCATCTAAGGCTCGCTGCACTCGTGAAGAGTTGACGCTGCTGCTATCTCTGGTACCCGTTGTCAGCGTTGATAGTAGGTCTTCTGTCAAAGTCTGCGCTAATACTGATGCCGATGTAGCTGTAGAAGCAGGCTTCGTCTTCTTGCTGACGACTGTGACTTCAGGTATGAGGATGGGGAGATCATCATACACGTCTGCTTCTTCCGGAGGTACAATCTCGGCAGAGAAAGACTTTGTCTTCTGTGTAGAGCTGATCTTAGATTTCGCTGAAGTCTTCATGGTAGTAGCCTTCTTCTTCTGCGAAAATGAAGATTTGGCCTTCTTCATCTGCGATGAGGTCAGCTCAGTAGACGATGATCTCTTATGACCTCCGGCGTTCACCTCTGGTACATCGACCTGCTCCTGAGAAGCGTTCAGCAATTCACTAGAATTATGAATATTTGCAGCAGTGGTTAACACACGGTTATCAGCGTAATCACTCGATTTAGACATGAATACCTACGTACCCAGTCCTTAGCACGTCTATGGATGGAAAAAAGGTAATTATTAAATTCAACAGAATTTTAATGTACACAACACTCACAGCGAGAGCTGAAAGAACATGAAACAGTGCTATTAGGACATAATAAATGAGGGTCAGCCGCAGACACTCGGTACCTACAATGAATACAAGTTTTCATCAATTGTAAACATGAAGAAAACACATGTCAAACAACAGAAATTTTTAGATCAAATTTCAAACCGTAATGTAGAATATAATCCTAAAAACCGTATACAGCAATAATTTTGATGTAAAGTCCGAAAATTAAAAAGGATATGTGCCGTATAGGGACCCAGTTGCTCTCACAACCGTCCTCAAGGGCGAAGAAGGAGAGAGTGACAAATATGGCCGATCATGTGACCATTTGGGCGCCAAAGGGAGGAAAGGGACGCTACTCTGGGTAAGTGATTTTACGTCCGCTTATTTAAAGGGAATTGACTGCCTGAGTATTGTTTTAGGCCGTTTTTAGCAATATTCCAGCAATATCACGGCGGGGGACACCAGAAATGGGCTTCACAAGTTGTACCCATGTGGGGAATCGAACCCGGTCTTCGGCGTGACGAGCGAACGCTTTAACCACTACCCCACCGCCTGGAACTTCAAGGGATTTCAAGTGTTCCACTATTTTTCATTCGCATAATTAGCAAGAGGAAGGAGACAAGCATAATTAGCACGAGTCAGGATAAGGAAAAATAAGAAATATATTGAGATACAGTGTTCTTACATTCTCCAAAGTTATATTGGAAAATTTCAAAACACAAACAGTTTCTATGGCTACTATTGTTACTTCCAATCTTACCAAGTTCTTCTCCAGTTTCGTAGTCGTACTTGTACATTTTGAAGTCCTCGCCTCCAGAAACAAAGATGTTCTTTGAAGGATGGAGAGACGATGAGTTTACAGGAGCTAGAGATTCATACTCCCTCTCGCTATCAAAACTGAAACAGGCACACGGTAGTGAGTACATAGGTTCAAAAGTTTATTCTCATCTAAGTTTTACACGGACGCTTTAGTTTAATTGTATTCCTAATAGTCTCAAAAATAAATGAACACAATACTTACGTATCAGAATTCCAAAAGCATGTTTTATGGCCATATGTGACCAGGAAGACACTTCCATCACGGGCCAACTCCAGGCTAGATGGCTGTGCTGGCAGATCAATCTTCCTCACCTCGGTACCACTGCTAACATCCCAGAGTCTGAAATACACACACATGAACTTATGACAGGATTGTTGTCACACATGTGAAGTAATACCTTGGCTAATTTCTCAATGTTGTAACACAGGTGAAGTAATACCTTGGCTAACGTCTCAATGTTGTCACACATGTGAAGTAATACCTTGGCTAATTTCTCAATGTTGTCACACATGTGAAGTAATACCTTGGCTAACTTCTCAATGTTGTAACACAGGCGTAGTAATACCTAAGCTAACTTCTCAATGTTGTAACACATGTGTAGTAATACAATGTTGTCACACAGGTGTAGTAATACTTCTCAGTGTTGTAATACATGTCAAGTAATACCTTGGCTAACTTCTCAATGTTGTCACACAGGTGTAGTAATACCTTGGCTAACTTCTCAATGTTGTAACACATGTGAAGTAATACCTTGGCTAACTTCTCAATGTTGTACACAGTGAAGTAATACCTTGGCTAACTTCTCAATGTTGTAACACATGTGTAGTAATACCTTGGCTAACTTCTCAATGTTGTCACACAGGTGTAGTAATACCTTGGCTAACTTCTCAATGTTGTCACACAGGTGTAGTAATACCTTGGCTAACTTCTCAATGTTGTCACACAGGTGTAGTAATACCTTGGCTAACTTCTCAATGTTGTCACACATGTGAAGTAATACCTTGGCTAACTTCTCAATGTTGTCACACAGGTGTAGTAATACCTTGGCTAACTTCTCAATGTTGTCACACATGTGAAGTAATACCTTGGCTAATTTCTCAATGTTGTTGTCACACAGGTGTAGTAATACCTTGGCTAACTTCTCAATGTTGTCACACATGTGAAGTAATACCTTGGCTAATTTCTCAATGTTGTCACACAGGTGTTAATACCTTGTAACTTCTCAATGTTGTCACACAGGTGTAGTAATACCTTGGCTAACTTCTCAATGTTGTCACACATGTGAAGTAATACCTTGGCTAATTTCTCAATGTTGTCACACATGTGTAGTAATACCTTGGCTAATTTCTCAATGTTGTCACACAGGTGTAGTAATACCTTGGCTAACTTCTCAATGTTGTCACACAGGTGTAGTAATACCTTGGCTAATTTCTCAATGTTGTCACACATGTGAAGTAATACCTTGGCTAATTTCTCAATGTTGTCACACATGTGAAGTAATACCTTGGCTAATTTCTCAATGTTGTCACACAGGTGTAGTAATACCTTGGCTAACTTCTCAATGTTGTAACACAGGTGTAGTAATACCTTGGATAACTTCTCAATGTTGTCACACAGGTGTAGTAATACCTTGGCTAATTTCTCAATGTTGTCACACATGTGAAGTAATACCTTGGCTAACTTCTCAATGTTGTCACACAGGTGTAGTAATACCTTGGCTAATGTTGTCACACATGTGAAGTAATACCTTGGCTAACTTCTCAATGTTGTAACACAGGTGTAGTAATACCTTGGCTAACTTCTCAATGTTGTCACACAGGTGTAGTAATACCTTGGCTAACTTCTCAATGTTGTCACACAGGTGTAGTAATAACTAGGCTAACTTCTCAATGTTGTAACACAGGTGTAGTAATACCTTGGCTAACTTCTCAATGTTGTCACACAGGTGTAGTAATACCTTGGCTAACTTCTCAATGTTGTCACACAGGTGTAGTAATAACTTGGCTAACTTCTCAATGTTGTCAAACAGGTGTAGTAATACCTTGGCTAACTTCTCAATGTTGTCACACAGGTGTAGTAATACCTTGGCTAACTTCTCAATGTTGTCACACAGGTGTAGTAATACCTTGGCTAACTTCTCAATGTTGTCACACAGGTGTAGTAATACCTTGGCTAACGTCTCAATGTTGTCACACAGGTGTAGTAATACCTTGGCTAACTTCTCAATGTTGTCAAACAGGTGTAGTAATACCTTGGCTAACTTCTCAATGTTGTCACACAGGTGTAGTAATACCTTGGCTAACTTCTCAATGTTGTCACACAGGTGTAGTAATACCTTGGCTAACTTCTCAATGTTGTCAAACATGTGTAGTAATACCTTGGCTAACTTCTCAATGTTGTCAAACAGGTGTAGTAATAACTAGGCTAACTTCTCAATGTTGTCACACATGTGAAGTAATACCTTGGCTAACTTCTCAATGTTGTCAAACATGTGTAGTAATACCTTGGCTAACTTCTCAATGTTGTCACACAGGTGTAGTAATACCTTGGCTAACTCCTCAATGTTGTCACACAGGTGTAGTAATACCTTGGCTAATTTCACATTGTTACATAAATAATCTTCTACAACTGCGACAGTAAGGGTTATGACAATACATATTTATGTATCAACAGGGGGGTTATGACAATACATCGTATTCGTTTGCTCTCCATAAAGCTTCGATGACAGCACGTGGAGCTGTACAACCCATGTTAACAAAGGATCACTACGTAAATCGAAATAGTGATACATGTTTTAGGATATTTTCTCAGTGAAACTAAACCATCTTAACAATGATGTTTAATTTGATGTGTAGACTTATCAAAAATAAAAGAGCTAAGAAATATGTACATCATATTGAATGAACTGTGCAAGATGTGACGAATCGTCACATCTTTCTGGCCTGTGGCAGAGGTACTATGCTGGCTGACCGCATGGAACTCTGGGTAGGAGAGTGACCAAGGCTAACTTCTCAGTGTTGTCACAGGTGTAGTAACACATGGCTGGGACGATACAAAGATAAGAATATTTTTCAGCATCACAGTTACCTACCTGACAGTTTTATCATCTGATATGCTGATGATAGATTTATCTCCCTTTGTGAACAAGGCTGATCGGACGTTGGCAGTGTGCCCACTTAATACGCGTGGCTCTGGAAATGTCAAAAAAGATTTCTACCAAACACATGTAACTCTCTCACACAGAGGCAAGGATTTACATCAAAACTTCATTTTTCAATCATGCTACACAAACTGTTTTGATCAAACTTCAACCATTTGACATCGAAAACTTATCACTCAGTGAAAATACCTCTTCAGAAGCAAGATTGTTTGTTTGCTTGTTTGCAACGTGGATCTTCACGACAGTCTCATGCCATGTCTTACTCAGTACAGTTGCACGAGGCATGACATAACTGAATCGTGTCCCTTGGCAGCTCCTGGATCCACTGATCATGTGTTACACTTGTAGACTGGCCTTGATTATGGCCATAGGTCTGTCAGCATTATACCCAGCTCCCAATACAGGTGAACATCTTAGGCCTGCATCACTTAATGCTTTCCCCAAACTTAAGAAGAATGTTATAGACCAAAAAGCCAACATGCTAGCTCTGTTCCAAGCAATGGCCCCCATGTCTTGCTGACATTCAAACCAAGCATCTACACCTACCTGCTTCTGGCTTTGACAGATCAAATATGCGGAGGTTTTTTTCCTGGGTTCCGGTGAGGAGGAAGTTGCTATCAGCGGAGAAATCCACACACTTCACAATGTGCTTGTGGGCGAAGGTGTGCATCTCCTCGCCCTTCTCTGCATCCCAGAGTTTGCTGGAAATACACACACTTTATTTCAGTTATATAAAAGATTTTCAGTACTTGCATGAAACATGAGTGAGTATGGTGGGCTATTCAAAAACAAATTTGTCATGCTAACGCATATTCCCAAAATATCCCGACTGTGTGGATACACTGATTTATGTGACTTTTTAAAGTTTTATGCTTCACTCAGCAATAGTTCAGCTACATCTGTACATACTTAATAATTCTGAACCCAGATTGGCATCATGAACAATATTCCGGGGCACTGGTTTACAATGACATCTAAATCAATCAATCACAAATTTGAGCATTTTATTGATTCTTGCTGCAGACTTGTAGTTTTGGCCTCTGTCATAAATAAATCTCTCTCAATGCACTTACACGCACATACACAGTATGAGGAGGAAAGATGTTCCTCGCAATTAAGGTTAACATTGTCTTCATTACAAGATTGTACTTGCTCCTAATTCTGTTATGTTTCATGCCCCACCTCAATCAAACTGTAATTATTTAGAGGCTATCTCTTGATTATCTTGAAATCTTGACAACTTCCTATATACACAACAAACCTAAAACAAGGAAATTGATGAAATGACACTGAAGTTGTAATGATAATAAATGTCTGTAAAATTGAAACCATGTGTGTATATCAATATCTGGTGTGTACACACTGGGTGATACATGCACCACTCTTTTATGGAGACTGTCAATCAACTTGCTTACTGCTGCCCTAGATACTGTAATCATAGTTATTTTCACGTTGGATTAATTTTCGCGCTTTTAGCTAAAAAAGATCGTGCACCAATAATCATACCAGCGAAATATTCATGGTCAAGTCATGACAAATACTCAAGTAGGAACAACATGCAATTTGTTTAATGCAGCAAATCAACAATTTGACCATGTGAACAAGACGTCAGAGCTGCAGATAAGATTTAGCTCATGTGGGTACTGTACCCACTGTATTTTATCATATTTTATGGGTATTATGAATGTTGAGTGGGTATTTCATTTTCCGTTACCCACTGCTTTCAAATATGTGCGTATTTCAGTCATTTTACACACCTAAGTATTACGTCATTGAGTAAGTTTACTAAGCAGGTATGTTCTGCCTTATGTCATACCTAATCAAAACCAACTTAAATATAATGGAAATGATTTCATAAAAACAAAACTCATCTTATACTGACAGTACAACACTAGTCCTATACTTACAGTACAACTTGATAGCAATCGCTGTCTTTTTCATTACGCAGTCGATTTTTATAAATATATTCCGTACGCACACTTGTTTTAAACTTTTTGCATATCTAACATTTTAAATGCGTAATTGGTACGCAAGAATGCATAATTGGAAATTTTCTATGCATATTTTACCCGGATACGCAGCTTATCTGGGCCTCTTGAGACGTGTTCATAAACAAGTGCTAGGACTCTCCACCTGAGAACATCCCACAAGTGCTGGGACTCTCCACCTGAGAACATCCCACAGGTGCGTTAATGGGGACATGTCAGCCCCTCAGCTGTAAATGAATGATGAATGACTAGATGTTGCATACAGACCACAGTATTGCGACAGTCACTGAGACACATAAGTATACAATTCCAGTGCTCATCCACCATCATCATCGTTATCATCTCTACAATGAAGAAAGTACACATGCCTACTCACGCAGTAAAATCTGCAGCACCGGTTGCAGCCCTGGTGGCATCTCGGTTCAGCGTGGCTCCCCACACGGCTCCCCCTTGTGACCCTCGAAGGTACCAATCCAGTCCCCTGTGTCACCCTGCCGCAACATTGGCTTTCCATCTAAAAATGAGTGACCAGAGCACTAGGAGAATATTCAGACTCACCAGAAAATACACATCACAATCTTGCGGTCATATTATGTGTATCATGATACAGATATAAGCTGGTGATAGAAAATGAAAGTTCAATGTAATAATAATGATGATAATAACAACAATCACAATATAATCGCAACAAGTGCAAGTGTATATTTGTTAAATTATTTAAGGAATGGTACTACATTAACATAACAGCATCCATTTCCAAATTTCCTGAATACCACTACCAGCAGTTTTCGAGCTTCAGTTCTAATAGATATTGGCTTTTGATTCTGACAAATCCTTAATCTTAAATATTCATTCCTACAGAACACAACTTCCCACCAGAATGTACTGCAGTCAAACGGTGACTTGTAAACTGTCTTTAACCTACGATGTATCCAGCAACATACCAAAGTGCTACACTTGTGTTAGTAACTATTTTAAAGATACACAATATTGTAATATAATGATGGTAGGATATATTTTCCTTGTTAAATAATTGCACAAGATACAACTCTTTGAAGTTTTAATATCAAATCGTTTCTTATTAAATCACTGGCAGATTGGTGTCACTAATGCAGGGGGTTATCCATTGACCCCATAATGGCAAGGGATGACATTATATAAAACTTCAACTTATGGTTAATCCTGTTTATTAAACATGTAAAAAGACAGAGTGAGATTCTTGATAGACATTTATTTGTGAATATAAGACGAGTATATGGATGGCAATTTCTTCTTCATTGCATAACACGACAAAAGTAGCCCAGAAAGGTCGCCCATAACATTTACTTTTTAGTATTTCTATAGACAGATACCATCTATTACATGGTCTCTGCTATAGACAACACATGTATTAACTTCTGAAAAACTCTTTTTTTCCTCATGGTCTTTGAAAGTTTCAGGGCAAAGATATATTAAAATAGGGGACAAGAAACTGGCATCACACGTGGTAATAATGGTATCCGTGACGGGAAATGAACCCGAGCAAAACTTTTCCGTGTTTTGTCTTTTAGTACGAATGCTTCACCAAAATATATTTCAACAAAATAAACTGTTTCAGCATCTGGCTTTATCATCATCAGGCATATCATTGGAAAAAGATGTGAAGAATTTAATGTTACACCATTAAAATCACTCCTCGAATCTATATCAAGACAAAAACACATCTCGTGGCATGCCGATATGTCATGCTGTCTTTCGGTACAGGTGCGAGCACGTGCCCATATTGAACGCTATTTAGGTCGCAGCTAGAAGTTATGCTCTACTACAAGCCAAAGATGTATTCAAACCTTTGCAAGCGCTTATGCTGAAATATCCATACGGAGTTATGTCACTAAAATTCAAATAAACAACTGGTCGAGTATGTCCACTGCAAGTCAGCGGTGTTTGTCGCAGAGCCGACATGTTGAATGTTTACTTCCGGGATGGTGTCGCGCATGTGTTTTGCTAACATCCCCCGGAACTATGAAAAGTTGACGCTTGCGTACTTGCTTGAAATGGCGGGTAAAGTGAAACTGAGAGCAGAACTGAGACTGGACATTGGATTTTGATAACATTCTGATTGTAGGTATTGGTCAGAAGAATGAATGAGGATGTAAAGGAAACATTTCTATTGTTTCACATAACTGACTTGATAAGTTAAAATGTGTTGCTAAACTGCAATTAAGAATATCGTTGATAAATGAAAACATTTTCATTTTATGACTTGCCAGATCATGATTCAAATTTCAAGATTGTTTGCGAAGAAATGAGCATGTTCAGCATATGTGTTCATATCTTTCAGCAGCACAAATACTTTCGTATGAAGTTTAAAGATATGATGCTGTCTTAAGATTAATTGTACGTAGTGTCTGATAATATTCCACTACTCCGATTTGACACCTTGTCTGTTTGTAATTTTTGTTAATGCCTGTGCGGTTTTGTACTCTAGAAGTTTTTTCATGTACCATTTTTGGGGGTATATTTCTCAACATATTTACAGTTAAACTACAATGTGTTTATTTGTTCACAGTGGTTGTCCTGTATGCAAATGGTTACTAATCGTCTTGTCAGCACCTTGAACTTTAGGCGGATCATTAACAATTTGTTTTCATTTTTTCCCAAAGCTGCCTTTTAAGTTTTGGAACATAAATAACTTCATAAAATGAAATATAAATGCATGATTATGATGACAAAGTAATGTCCTGTCCAAAGTTGGTAGAATAAAGAAAATTTCCTGATAACACAAGTCTGCAAATTCGTTGTTATTTCACAATGTCCATCTGTTAACTAGCACAGAGAAAGGTGTGAAATAACTGAAGTATTTTATGTCAAACAGGAATGTTGTCTGTAACTGTTATCACCTTATGATGTATACATTACAGATGAACTCCATCAACCTCATCATGTGAAACCTCTCATTCAGTTGATCAAATCATAAGACAGAAGCTCACAAGTCAGTCAACCTCCTTTAACAATGGCCGATGATGTGGTCCAGGAAGATGACTTTGATTTATACACAGACATGATATGTGAAGACTCAAAACTAGCACTTGTTGCCTGCAGATCTTTACCCAAATCCGTTCCAGTGCCAGTTTCTCCCCTTGGTCCATCACCAGATTTGAAACATATGTCACCAGATTTGAAACCACCATCACCAGATTTGAAACCTCCGTCAACAAATTTGAAACCACTGTCACAAGATGTAAAACCTCAGTCCCTGGTCCCTAACAAGCCTCCACCGGAAGAGGAAAGTTTGGACTTATATTCTGACATCATAACTGACAACCTTAGACCCGAACAGTCATCATCTTCAGGTGACAAGTTGCTTGCATCAAGCTGTGCTGGTTTGTCATCTAGTGTAGTTTGTGATGGTGTTGCTACTGCCAGGAGTGGATCTTCAGTAAAGCCTGGTGAGGAGGACAGCAACCTGGACCTGTACACAGAGATCCTTAGTGATGAACTACAGCAGCGACACGACTCCCAAATACAGGCACGTTTTCTATACCTAGAATTAGACTAGTAGGTTTGATCATGTTGATGGGGGGTCACTGGTATATTACAGGTAGAAGATCCCGTGTATTCTGGCTGCATCACTTTCAGGTGCCACAAGCAATGTCTGTCAGCATCCACTAGCAAAAGTTTGATTTTCTTCCAAAGAACAGTTGTGCTTTGGTACATTCTAATAGATTTTCATGTATACGGTACATCCATGAACTTTATGTCTTTATGATAACATCATATCAGAAATCAATGAAGTTGAAACTAAACATACTTGTTCCCATCAATGATAACACTGAGGTTCAAATCCAAATTAGTTTATGGCAGCCACATCAGACATATTGTTATTCCATTCAGTTTGGTACACACATAGGTTTTATATTTTTTACCATATACCTTTTACAATTCAATGATAATGTTAGCTGATATATCTTATGACCATTTTCATCGATTAAATTTGGTCTTTGATTAGTTGTTGGATTTAACAGGAATGTTCTGCTCCTGCATCATGTGCTTAATTTATCATTTTGACCTTTGTCTCAAAGTGTACTACCCGGTTAACTTCTTTTCTGAACTTGCTAGACAAAGGAGCTGAAGTTTGGCATGTATGTTCATCTTGATGGTGATATATTTTGTTTATATCAAGAGGTTGTCCATGTCTAGTTGACTATATATCCCAGTGAGCCGTAAGCGTTCCACCCGTAACCCCCGCTTGAAAAGTATTTTATTTATTATGATTATTTCAAGGGGTTAGGGTTTAGCTTTAGGGTTTTAGATTCAGCATTATGTTAGATTTTGGGTTAGGGTTAGGATAGTCTTTCTATAAAGAAAACATATATTCTTACTATAAATCTTAGGCATAGAATGATAATAAAACGGGGGTTACGGGCGGAAATCTTTCCCGGTGAGCTACAGTGCTGTTGAAGTGGGTTTTTTTTATCAATTACCCTCATCAAATTTGGCCCCAAAACATACATATTTCCTTTTCACGAAGTATAAGTATTAGTCTGTCATTGTAGGTCCTTCATGCAAAAAATAAGCATGTTGATTTAAATGTTGTTTTCTTCTCCAGCTAGAACAAAAGTATTCTGCTGCTGTAGCGAGGATTCAGGACCTGGAAGCTGAGCTTAAAAGTTGAAGGAAACAGAAGAGAAGACACGTGCACAGAATATTGTTATCAAACAAAACATCACTTCTCTCCTTCTAACCTCTAAGACAGAACTCAAACGAAAAGATAAAGAAATCAGCAGACTAAAGTAAGTGTTAAAGTATATGTCCAAATCTATACATTAAGAAATACCAGGGAGTCTCAGGAATAAAATTTTGGGGTGTGTGTGAGAGAGAGAGAGAATTTCCTAAAGATCAAATATATTCTTATAGACTATCAGTGTGAATTTTAAATTTATAAAATAGTAATTTTTAAACTTATCCTATCTCACAACTTGCACCCTCTCTCTCTCTTGCTTCGACTTTTAGTGGAACTACTGTAAACTTTTTTCCATAGGCCTTCTTGTCCATTCGCCTGTGCACTCCATGCTGCTCTCCTTAATTAGCATCCTAGTTCCTAATAAAGCTTGCCACATGCTCCACTAAGTGCCCATGTGACTACTTTGAATGATCATTCTCTTTCTTGTCGCACGACTGTGTGGACGTGCTGTATATTAGGGACATTATTTCGCCCTAACATCATTGGGAAAACAGATAATCAGTCAAGGAAAAGGAAAGTTTGTGCTCAATACAAGACGAATTATTCGTCCCTCGACCCTCACTTGTCTTGCAGTACAACTTAACTGGAACAAACGATGTGGCAAGTGTAATTCACTAAAAGATGAGGATTTTAAGGCCTGCCTTCGTGTTGCTCCCGGAGAATCGCAGATAGGGACAGGAAATCAACAGAATCTGATCCCACTCCCGCCAAGCGTATCAAGTTACAGCGACAGAAAATCGTACCTTCACACAAGAGTGAGGGTCAATTTGATGCTGCCCGGAACTGAACGTTAAACCTTGGAGATGCTGAGTTGTGTTTCTCTTTCACCCGCCTCGGTCGGTGTCTGGGGGCCTTCTTGAAGCAGGGGCTGGCCCGATTCTAGTCGCAAGACTTTAATTCCGGGGGTACCTTGTAAATTGTGGCGAGGCGAGGCCTACTTGCCGAGTTGTGTCCCTAGTCTTGTACAAGGTTGCGGCCGAACACCACATCGCTCGGGAGCACCCATCTCCCTGGGGGTCGTTGTGCTTAGTAAGGGGTTCCAGAGAACCCACTACAAGCATAGGAGTTGCGTGCATGCGTAACAGGCCTCCCTTGTACATCGCTATCTACGGTTGTCATCAGTCCACACAGCTCCAAGACCAGCTGTTTCTACTGTCAGACAGAAGGGTAATCTGCAGCCCGTCGTCCAACCGTAGGATAAGTGCAAGTCGTGAGATAGGATAAGTTTAAAAATTTGGAAATTTTAATATAAATTAATATATATATTATTTTTCCTTATCCTGACTCATGCTCTTTTTGCTTGTCTTCTTCTTCTTGCGAACATAGTGGAACACTTGTATCTCCCTAATTGAAGCTCCCTTCAATTTAAAATCACTAATTAGTATTCACCACGAGTTACCTCCTTTCCACAAGCGCGGGAACGAGGGCGCCACCTCTACCCATGTGCCTCACTCTCTCCTTCTTCGCCCAGTGAGCTGGACGTGAGAGCGCCTGTGTCTCCCGACACACTATATCCTTTGAATTATATTTAGTTAGTTACCTCGTATAGACATCTATAGAGGTTTAGCTAGTATCCTTCAGCGATTATATATTGATATTTAGTGGATTTTCTACAGTTTAGTCACGGGGCCGTGTTTGTTTCAGTGGATTACGTTGATGAAAATTCTGTACTATTGCAGATTCGTTTTATGCTGCTGCTGATCCGCCTTTAATATGATGTCTGGCGCCATGTTTATTATATTCACATTGCAGTTCGCGGTACTAATTTATCAATTCTACCTTTTATTAATATTTACTTTGCGTTTGGCGCGCACAGCAGATAGGTCGTATGCAGAGAGTCTAGTATGACTGATACACGGAACCCCTCGCCAGTCTACTGCTGTTGGCCGACTCCCCTCCCGTGTGGTGTTCGCTAGAGTGGTGGAGAGGTGTGGGGCGTAGTCCGCCATCTCCAAGAAGCATCCTGCTTCCCCAGACATCCCATCGTCGCAGCAGAAGACTAGAGGGTTTTCTACTACATCTCAACAACGAGACCGTTCCCATCGAAGTTTTGGGCCTGTATGATGATCAGCCCGGTCATCATACGGATGTACATCAAAGATTGACCGATGTCGGCACAGATCAGCATGCAGCCTGATGTACCAGCGCAGATATCGCGATGATGCGTCCTGAGGGTCCCATCATTACCAACACTCCAGCGCCAGGCGTCGCACACCCAGGGCAGCGTCGACCTCTGAGGGAAAATCAGCGAAGTCTACTAGGACTTTCTCAACCGAGATTGTTCCAGCCGATGACCTGGACCTCTCGATGATCAGCTGATCATCATCCCGGCGTCGCATACAAGAAGCGACCGGTGACAGCTACAGCGACATCAGCAGAGATCACCATGCAGCCTGATGCCTCTACACTGATGTCGGACGATTTTCGGTGGACCCCTCCATTAACACCGCCCAGATAAAGCACCGGCGACCTGCAAATTAGCAGACCATCCCAGAAGACATGATCGCGACAAATTATGAACATCATGGAGGACCAATATCTGCGGTAGCAGGGTCCGAGCAACCAGCGAAGGCTCCAGCGTGAACAACACCCAGAGGCACCCCCGTCAGCGTAGCAGCCAGGGCGATGTCACCTTAGCGAAGGAAGTCCGCGGACCACCTTGGCGAAGGACCTAGATGTACAGCCGCCAGGCGAAGGCCTTGCGGCGGAAAGGACCTAGATGTACAGCCAGCGGAAGCGGAAAGAACCTAGATGTACAGCCTTCGCGAAGGACTTCGCGAAGGCAGGATAGATCATCACCTTATGCGGTTTCATCCCTAGATGTGGACTCGGACCATCAGACATCCGCGGAAGCCTTCGCGAAGGTCATATCGTCGTTCCCCGGACGGACGCAGAGGAAGCCGAAGGCAGGCATCGCGAAGGACACCTGAATCCAGATCATCATCATCTAGAAGGACATCGAGGGACTATACAAGAGCTTCGCGAAACTATCAGCGTTCCCCTCACAAGTCTCCGAGAAGATCAACCCATAGACAAGTTGATCATCGATATCAAATATAAGAACTACAATCGTATATTGGTTCTGTTGAATCCATGGCCGAGGCGGTATGTTAAGCTGGCCTAAATAGATCTAGAGCGATCAATTAGACACTTATCACCAGACTTAAGTAACCGACTTCTGAGATATGATAAGATGATCCATGGGGCCCTACTTAGGCAAAGCAGCCGCGATCCACATCCTGTTAAACACAGAGGCTGTTCCGCGAAGCAAGCTCATATATATATTTATATATATATATATATACTAATCGGGCTTTGACTCGACACCTTCGCGATGGTCGCGAAGGCTAAAATTAACTCAAGTCTACTTCACCCAGAAGATCTAGAAGGGATACTTAGAACTTCAGCGAAGTCTCAGCGTTCACCGAGGAAGTCTCCTCCAAGGTTTCCATATACTAGCCACTTTCGTCATATATAGCTACTTTCGTCAGTCCGTTCAAGGCGTCGCATAAGTTGATTATCAACTGTATGCCAGATGCCGTCTATAAGCCTCTGCGAAGATAATTGCTCAGGCTATTTACAACACAGAGCGTCGCTGTATTATTAGTCAGCGACATTTCATAGATCTTCACAGAAATCAACTATTCCGTATAAATTGCTAATATACAATCCCGGACGACGATCACGATTATCTACATGCGTGACCATTACGCATATCTGCAGACAATTCAATATCGAAATTGAACAGCAGCCTTGTTACAGCGAGTATAACTCTTAATCGTCAAAGTTTCTGAGAAGAAATATGTACAACAAGTTCAGCGTTAATTCTACAATTATGGCGATACATTCATGTATACAGTCTACAAGCTCACAACTTGCAAGTTGTTTATACCCTTATATATAAGGAAGTCGAATTATATTCAAAACTGAAATTACTTTCCGACAACCAGGAAAATAACCTACCCAGCATAAAATTACAGAGCGAGATATTTCGGAGGTTTCGGCGGTTACCATTAACCCTCGAAACCGTGGTCACTTCGGATAACCGGGAAGCTACGGTGAAGACCGGCGTTTATGCTAATATCAGCGGCGACAAGAATTTATTCAAGGTGGGTTTTTCCGCTACACGGTGACATCACAGCGGCGGGTATTATACAGAATCAAAATGCCTTGTTCTGATTGGACCCGCGAGGGACAACGACCTACACAGAGGTCGATCTCTATTCACAGTTCAAGACTTACGTCACAAGTGACAACTATATATCAGTGAGCGAGCAAGCCTCATTACAGTCCAGTTAACCTGAACATTCATGATTAGACTGCCTTTCTTCAAGTTAGAGACCTCCCTGTCAAGTTAAGGCGAGGGATCGGCAGTCAGAAGCGATTTTACATAAAGTTCAGCGAGGACAGACACACCTGGTTGTGCACCTACATCGTCAAGGACTTAGCTTGGCGCGAATTACCTAGGCGAAGATACAAGTGGATCTAAATCCACAGCGTTTCAGACTACAGCTGAATTTCATCAAGCGACTAACACAACTAGATGGTTAGTAAACCTACTAAACTTCTGTTTGGAGAATAAAAGCGGAAATTTCAGCCCAACCTGGGGATATGAATATAGTGCTCCAACACCTCACAAGTGAGGTTTATGAACACGCCTGGATGACATACTTGGACCCCATGATACGATGATTCTATCAAGATGGCCAGCAAGAGCACTGTAAATTTATCTCCACCAAACCAAACAGGAGGAAAAATGCAACAGATTATTTCCTCTATCATCAACTTCACGCAGAGTGAAGTCTCATGTACTATATCTCCATTTGGATCAGAACTGTCATACTACGTGCATATCTTGGGATGGACCTATTCCGACCCTCCATGAGCTTAATACTCATGATATTATAAGCTAACTTCTACAATTGTTCTACACAAATGTGATTGAAATAATGGAGGGTTTATTTCTGGAAATCCGATATGGTGGTTGCAAACCATTATCTGAGAGATATCACCACCGAGGGCGTCTCAGGTATACACCAATTCGATCCCATGGTCCTCGCACAACAGCTTACAGTTCCTCGGAGAAGATAAGTCAATCTAACAGATTTTTACTTATCTTATAACAATACTAAATAGCTTCATGCTATATATAATTTACTTAAGTTCCTTTTATCATCACAGTACTATGATTATTACATCATACAATATATAAGTTAACAACTCTACAGAGTTTGTTATTATATATATTTACCTTAAGTTATTCATATCTTAAGAGTAATACTATGGTTACATGATAAATGCATTAGCTAACAAACTCTACAGAGTTTTTGGCTATTTTATACATAACTTAAGTTAATTAAGCTAACAAACTCTCTGGAGTTTTACTATTATATAGGTAACTTAAGCTAATTATACCTTAAGCATAGTACTATACTCATATTATTAAAATATATTGGCTAACAAACTCTAAGGAGTTTTGCTATTATATAGGTAGCTTAAGCTTATTCATATCTTAAACTTAGTACTATGTTTATATCATTTAAGTAGATTAGCTAACAAACTCTAAAAGAGTTTTTGCTATTTGGCTTAAGTATCATCATATTTCTAAGCAATATGGTTATATTATAACATGTATTAGCTAACAAACTCTACAGAGTTTTAGCTATTATATATGTAACTTAAGCTTATTCATATCTTAAAAGCAGTACTATGTTTATATCATATAGGTATATTAGCTATCAAAACTCTAAAAGAGGGTTTTGCTATTATATATTTAAGCTTAAGTTTCATCATATTTTAAGCTTTATGGTTACATTATAACATGTATTAGCTAACAAACTCTCACGGAGTTCTTGCTATTATATATGTAGCTTAAGTTTTCCTTCATAAGCTCAATACTAGGTTTATATCATAGCTAACAAACTCTAAAGGGTTGTTTTGGCTATTATACAATTAGCTTAAGTTTTCATCATATCTTAAGCAGTATGTTTACATTATAAAGGTATTAGCTAACAAAACCCGGCCGGAGTTTTGTTATTATACATATATAGCTTAAGTTTTATCATAACTTAAGCTCAGTACTATGTTTTTAACATAAAAGTATATTAGTTAATAAACTCTAAGGAGTTTATTTTGCTATATACATTTAGCTTAAGTCTAATCTTATCTTAAGCTTAGTACTATGGTTACACTATAAACATATTAGCTAATAAACTCTACAGAGTTTTTGGCTATTATATATGTAGCTTAAGTTAATAATATCTTAAGCACAATACTATACTCATATTGTAAAATATATTAGCTAACAAACTCTCTGAGGGTTTTGCTATTATATATGTAGCTTAAGTTCATTATATCTTAAGCACACTACTATACTCATATTGTAAAATATATTAGCTAACAAACTCTACGGGAGTTTTGCTATTATATATGTAGCTTAAGTTAATTATATCTTAAGCACACTACTATACTCATATTGTAAAAATATATTAGCTAACAAAACCCTACAGAGTTTTGCTATATATATGTAGCTTAAGTTAATTATATCTTAAGCTCAGTACTATACTAATATTATAAATATATATTAGCTAACAAACTCTACAGAGTTTGGCTATTATATATGTAGCTTAAGTTAATTATAGCTTAAGCACAGTACTATACTCATATTATAAAAATATATTAGCTAACAAACTCTACAGAGTTTGGCTATTATATATGTAGCTTAAGTTAATTATAGCTTAAGCACAGTACTATACTCATATTATAAAAATATATTAGCTAACAAACTCTACAGAGTTTTTGCTATTATATATGTAGCTAAAGCTTATTCATATCTTAAACTCAGCATTATATCTATATCATATAAGTATATTAACTAACAAACTCTAAAGAGTTTGCTATTATATAATTAGCTTAAGTTTAATCATATCTTAAGCTTAGTACTATGTTATATCTTAAAGTATTTTAGCTAACAAACTCTAAGGAGTTTATACTAGCATATTAACAAGCTTAAGTCTATTAGTCTTAAGCATTGTATTAATGTTATATATACTTTATCATAATAAGTACATGGTAATAACCTTTTATATGGCAGCTGATAAGTTAGCAGCAGGAATTCATCAGTTCAGTGCCTTTATGAAGTTCCCATAGGGTTATTACAATCATCACAGTTCAAATCACTAATTATTAAAAATCCAAAGTATTAGATATTCCCACCTCCGTTCCGTTAGGATGCTACAAGCAAAAGAGCATGAGTCAGGATAAGGAAAAATATGTAATTTTGGAGTAAAATTGATATTTTATACTTATCCTGACTCATGAGGTCAGCCCTCCCATCCTCCCCAAATAACATTTTGGATTTCCCTGTAAATTCAAATGTTGGGCTCAGTATATGAGGAGAGAGTGAGGCACATGGGTAGAGGTGGCGCCCTCGTTCACGCGCTTGTGGAAAGGAGGTAACTCGTGGTGAATACTAATTAGTGATTTTAAATTGAAGGGAGCTTCAATTAGGGAGATACAAGTGTTCCACTATGTTCGCAAGAAGAAGAAGACAAGCAAAAAGAGCATGAGTCAGGATAAGTATAAAATATCAATTTTACTCCAAAAATTACATTATATACTTTTCCTATCTCACGCGATGGATGCCCGCCCGGCCTCCCCACTACTCAGATTACAACGTTGGCTCCAAGATAAGAATGCTCATTCAAGGTAGTCACGTGGGCAATTAGTGGAGCATGCTGCAAGCTTTATTAGGAACTAGGAAGCTAATTAAGGAGAGCAGCATGGAGTGCACGGGCGAATGGACAAGGAGGCCTATGGAAAAAGGTGTACGGTCATTCCACTAAAAGTCGAAGCAAGAGAGAGAGGTGCAAGTCGTGAGATAGGATAAGTATATAGATATACAATTTATATTAAAGCTTCCAAATTTATTCAAGAAAAAGAAGGAACACATTTCTCTTAAGGTTAGTTAATAATGACTTCTTTTTTACTGCAGCTTGTTGTTAGCCAAACGTGGTGGAGGAAACTTCCGAGGAAATCACTCTGGGGTCAGAAAGTATAAGGAGTCATCGCCAAGTCAACAGAATGTGCCCCGAGTGAGTGAGGAGGACACAGATGCACATTCACCTAGAAGAGGGAGAAATAGTGAATACGACAACCAGAAAAGGAAGAGAAACGAACCAATCAATGAAGGAACACCAAAAAGACAGAAAGTAGGAAACGCAAAACGCCATGTGACCCCTGAACCCAATGATTGTAGAAAACCATGGTCACACAGTCGGAGTCCAGACAAACCTGACAGGAGGACACAGGGGCCAGCAAAGAAGGACAGGAGGAATGACAGCAAATCCTCAGATCACAGACGGAAGGATTTTGCAGAGGTAGGGGGCAACAATCGTAGGTCAAAAACAAGTAGGGAGAGAGATCACTGTGATAGTGGTACTATAGAGAAACCTGGTCAGAGGAAATATGATCGAGACAGTCGTGAGAGAGATAAGTATCATGAGACTGCTGAGAGAGATGAGGGGGTGAAGAAATCTTCAAAAGATGGTCCTGCTGGTGAAAGAAGCAGGATGCGTAACAAATCAAGCAGTGATGATAAAGACAAAAGAATAGAGTCCAGTAAAAATGAACAGAATAGTTCTGGAGACTTACGAAATATTTTGAAGCGAAAGAGAGATGGAAAAGAAATGGAACAGAAACCTGTTGAAATGGCAAACAGAAAGCGACATTCCAGTAAAAATGAAAGCATATCAGACAGTTTGAAAAACACAAACCATGGCTCAAAAATATGTGACCAAGAACCAAGACCCAGTGATAAGGGTCTTGCTAGTGGTAAGATACCTGGAATAAACAATGATAATAACTTGAAACATGATAAACAAGATGCACTTAAAACTGATGGAAATTTGTTGGAAAGTACTTCGGTTAAAACAAAGACAAAGTATGATGCAGAGACAGGTAGTAATATGAAACACAATTCTGTGCAACCTCAGACTGATGTCTCTTCTGATCAGGACAGAAAGAAAGGAGAAAAGGTAAGGGAATTTGAATCTTCATCTTCATCAGCAAGTGGTTCTGTGATGAAAGGTGACTTGTCCAATAGTCCCACAGGTTCAGTGAGCTCGTCCACTTACAGTGCATCTAAGGAGAAGAAGAGAATCAAGCCAATAATGCTGAGTGGGAAACCCGATGTGGCTGGGGATGCTCACAGCATGGACAACAGATCTTGTTTTGATTCAGTTATACACAACATAGAGATGAGGGAGAGGTCCAGTTTTGCCAATGCCAGGGTGGTTGTCATGGATGTTAAGGGTTGTCCTGTAGATGCTGCTGGATGTACAGATAATAAGATTCATTGTGAAGATGGTTCTACCCTTGTCAAGGGTGATGCCATGGCAGATTTAAAAGATGAACATGATAGAACTCCATCTAAGCTGTGTGCCAAACACAGTTCTTCCAGTGACTCAAACGCTACCCTGGATAGAATATCTTCACTTCTGTCTGTGATTAAGGAAGGTGCGCAGATTCGCAGTGAAGTAAGCGAACATTTGCTTGTGTGTACTGTAGATCCCCATTTGACAGACAGCTGTGTGTCTGTTGACAGGAAGACAGTTGAGTCTGTGGTTGGGGACCTATCAGACCAAGACTGTTCTCTGGATCTGACGATGGAGGAGGAGAGGTGCTCCAGAACCGTGCCATATATGTATGTTAGGAAGTGTAGAGTCCAGGTGGAGCATTCAACAAGAAGTAATTCACACTCTCATTGTGGCTCCAGTCTGTCAGGTGAATTATCCAGTAAAGGTGGTCAGGATGAAGAAAATATGGACATTAGTTCAGGAAAGAAGAAGAAATCTAAAAAGAAACACAAACCCAAGCATACAGAGAAAGAGAATGTCCTGTCTGATACAGTGGGTCAGTATGCTAATGTTACGAAATCTGCTTTATCAGAGAGAACATCACCAGTAACAACTGGGGTTTCCTCTCACACAGGCCCTGATTCTGTGAGCCCCAAAGTGATTCAGCAAACAGAAATTGCTGTTACCTCAAGTGACATGGATAACAAAAGGTTGTCTCATAATAATGACAGTAAATTGGATCGCGTCGATAGAAGAGATCCTAGATTGGATTATGGAGTTCCTGTTAAAGTAAATAATGCCACTTATAAACTTGGTAAAAATTCTGAAAGTGGAATGAATGAAAATCTTGTTGAGAAGTTGAGAAGCAAAAATATATCCTCAAACAAGCTCTCCTGCCATCAGTTTGAAGATTCTTGTAAAGATGGGTCCCATGTAGAGGGTCCATTACCTGTTCATCATGTGGACAGTCGTCTGAATGGTCATGAAAGACCACCCTACCATGTGGAACCATTTGATTTTACCTCATTTCCTACGTCATATGCCAAATCTGAGAGCGAGGATGAGGAGAAGGGGAATATCCAAAATGTTGAATGTTGTAGCACATCTGAACATAAGGGAGTCAAAAGGGGTCATCCAGAAAACAATTTTTCTGACCATGTTGGGAATGTTGCTCATAACAATGATTCAGGTAACATCAACATGAATGAATCTCGGTGTGATATAGCCACAGAAAAGAAAGGCAGGCATTTGTCAGTGAGCACTGATGTAGAAATGGACGATACATCAACAAATTGTCAGGTGACAAAAGAACTGTCTGGAAACATCAGACCAACATTCTGTCGTCAGTCTTCTGTTCCAGCACAAAGAACTAATGTTGAGAACGTTTCAGTTGATCTTGTGAAAATAAGATCAAGAAGTATTTCAGACTCACAGTGTGGTTCCAGCCTGCCATGTTCAGTTCCAGCAGAGAGTTGTCACTGCACCTTCAAGCCTGTGGACTTGTCTGTGAAGTCAACAGTAAGGACAAGCGGCTTGTCCCCAAACAAGGCAAAACCGTTTACTGAGTCAAGTCATTTCCGTGGCTTTAGTTTGTCAGAAGATGGAGCATTAGATTTGTCAAAGAAACAGATTCAGAGACCTGATGAAATTGTGGTAAATTGTGAAAGTAAACCAATAGCAACTAAAGTCAGTGCTACAATAATTGATCAAGACGAACCAAAATCAAAGCAGAGTTCCAGCAATAATAGCATGCCTGCATCTTCTCCAAGACATGTTTCGCATTCATGTTATTCAGATACAAAGTCATCAACCTTGGTCGATTTAAGCACCACAAAGTCCAATGTTGCAGCCCCCGATGGATGTGCTCTTCTGTTATGTAGACTAATCAAAAACGAAAAAAATGTTGAAGTCCCACCTCGACTGAACCTGGACACTGCTGCTGCAGCAGCGGATGTGAAGCCTCCATGTCAGGAAGAACATCCTGCATCATCTGATAAACCTTTCAATGTCTCAATACAAAGTATGGATAGAAGTGGCACAAGTGAGGAATGCGTCATCACTTCGCCCAAAACAGATGACAACCATGAAAACACTTCAGAAGAAAGTTGTACATCTGACTCTGAAGGGGAGGAAGATGTCACTCCTTCGACAAGTCAGGGTATTTCTGAATCATCTTCTAAAAATGTATCTTCAACTCCAGTTTCATCCTGTTCAGATAATCCCAAGACTGCATGTTCAAGTGAAACTGTGACAACCATATCCAGTGTCCCAAGTAAGACTACTCCCTCATCCTGCGATTCCTCGGAAACAACTGCTAATGATAGTGATAGTGTGTCAAGCAGTGAGGAGGAGGACAAGGGTAGCAGTGATGAAGAGAGTTCAGAGGATGTCTGTGTGACAGATGATGAAGAGGCATTTCACTGTGAAAGCAGCCAGAGTGAGATCCTAATGAAAACACTGTCATGTGAAAGTGTGCCCCTCAAAAATTTTGAAAAGTTGCGACATGACTTGCTCCTCTCTGATGACAGTAGTCTAAGTTATAATCCTGAGTCATCAGAAAATCTTGTGTCTACAGCCAGTAGATCTCAAATGAGTAATGATGAAGAGGCCAAGTTTAAATTACCAGACATGTCCACTTCTGCTTTTGCAAGGCTGACTTCGTCTAATGAAAACTCAGATAAAACCACATCACCAGTAACTAGGAAACCGGTGACATCTCTAGATGAAGACACTCAAAGTAGTCTTCTGTCCCTACATGCAGAACAATTTGAATTTGACTGTGACCAAAGTGTACATGTGGACCAGTTCAGAAGCCAGTATGGTGAACCTGCCACAGAAACTCGAGTTGAAGAGCACGAAGATGGGAAGTCTGATAGTGATGAATGTTCTGAAGATGGGGAGATCACTAGTGATGAAGATGGTGCAGCTGTAGAAGCACCTGTTGATGAAGAAATCTCTGTTGATTTGAGAGAATTGTTGAAAGCAAAGCAGCTCCTTGAACAGAAAATACATGGGATTCGTGGGAGGGAAAGTAAGAAGCCTTTGTCATCTCGCCCTTGTGATCGGGAAAACAGACATAAAAATCAAGGTCATGACCGTAGGTTGGAACGAAAAGTTGATAGACCTAGGGCTACAAGAGGTGTTGATAACCGTAGAGGATCCAAACCAAGTACATCCGATCAGGAGAGATTCAGCAGAAAGGTTCATGGAAGCGATCCCAGACTTGACAGGTCATCTTCAAGGCACAGAAGGGATGAAGAACCACGTTATCACACCAGCCCTTCAGCTCGTCAGATTCCTTCTGAGAGTAGGAAAGACAGTCATAGAAACAGTTCACCATTATCATTAAGAAGTTCCCACAAAGACCACTATAAAGAAAACCACAGGAATCGTGGCAGTGATCGCGAAGAAAGGACCAGGGCCCGAGGGCGAGATTTGACAGACTCGGTTAGAAGCAGAGTTGACCGAAGCCCACTCAGTCGCCATTCTGGCAGGAGAGGCAATAGAGACATGTCATGACCCATGGTGGTGATATTTTGTGGTGGTGATATTTTACGGTGATAGATAAATGTGTTTTGCAATCATGATTGTTAAAACAAAACTGAACACGACAAACAGATGGCAGTCCAAGTGAGGGGCCCATTGAAAAAAACCTAACTGTACTAACTGTTAAGATTGTGTGGAATTATGGGGTGGGCACTTTGTTCTGTTGCAATGTACATGACAGTGGCATTTGTCTTCTTTTTATTATAATCTAAACCTTACCTGACCTCCATATATGTATCTCCAGATGAGTGCTAGTAGTGAAGCATATCAGGTCATCCGAATAAGTGAAAGGAGCAACTCATAAAGGAAGTGAAGGAACTATTGTCATGAAACATGCACAGTGCATTGTAGATAATTGAATTCTCTTTATGTAGCTTAATGTTAATGTGGTACTTTGTAAACAAAAACAAATGTTTTGTTAAAAAGTTGGTACAGCATTCATTTTTTTGTTTGTGGAATATGTATGTTAAACTTCCTTATATTGTAAAGCACAGTTGATCAGTCTGTAGTCCAAGTTCACTGGCCAAACAGTGCCTTTTAGTACTGTGATCCTCTTTTTCCATTGATGGCAGGGCACATATTCATCATGTATGTTTGAAATTTGGTGTGTTCCTGGAGTCTGTGAGGGTTTGTTCTGGGGTGTCTTCATCTAGAACCCCACAAATCTTGATCTTCTCCTCTTACACTGACCCCTTGATATTGATGCTTGAACAAAAACATTACATGTCAGGGGCGGTGTGGTAGCCTAGTGGTTAAAGCGTCCGCTCGTCATGCCGAAGACCCGGATTCGATTCCCCACATGGGTACAATGTGTGAAGCCCATTTCTGGTGTCCACCACCGTTATATTGCTGGAATATTGCTGAAGCGGCGTAAAACTAAGCTCACTCACTCATTTTATTGTCGTTAATACAGAATGTGTAAAAAGTGATAGCATGTAAAATGTATTGTGCCAAGGTTATGATTGAAAGTGTTTGAGCACAGGCCAATTGCAGTGTGTTAAACAAGCCTGTATGTCGGCATTTTGTGCTGCATGTATACCTTTAGATAAGATTTTCTAATTGTGAATGAAATTCTTCACGATATCATACCAGAGATATGGGGTTTTTTTTTCACTTGTTAAAGCTTCAGAAATAATTGTTATAATGAACATACTTGGAAATAAGCTCCACTGTTATCACTACTACATATTGCACTTGTACATCAATTGTGGCAATATGGTAAAGTATTGGATGTAACTATGGTCGTAAAATATGGTGTATATTTGTGACAGTTTTGGAATGGATAATGCCAACAAAAACACGTGTTTCCTCATTCTGTTTGTAGTGGTCATATAATAAACATGGGTACCCAAATTGTTGAACAGTTGTGTGTTGTTGGAATAGAAATGCTGAAATCACTGGAATTTGATCCTGAAAGTAGAATGTAAAGTTTATAGTGTTTTCTCCCACTTAAACCATCGTATAGTTTATACAATTTCTCTGTTTAATTTTGCATAATGACAAATGCATTATGTTTACTTTTATAAAAACCATGTGGGATGTCAAGGTCTTGTTTGCAGCTGACCATGCAGAGTGCCCGTGTTTAGCTAAGTTATTACAGTTTCTACAACAATACAGGGGTGGAAAGAAGTTTAAAATTGCTAGTGTATTCAGGTACAGTGGCACATGTAACATCACTTGCCCTGATAACTTTTCCACTATACCGGCCAATTTTCTTGTTGATTTTTGTAAATAAGTAACATAATTAACATTGGAAAGTCAACTGGACACCGGTACAGCGTGATATACAAATTACGTCGGGCAATGGGGTATATGCACAAATGTAGGAACAATCATCCCACACAAAATTATCAGGGCAAGTGATTTTACATGTGCCACTGTACCGGAGTACACTAGCAATTTTGAAGTTATTTCCACCCCTGCCACATATTTTATGATTCTAATCAATGTCAAAGATTTTGTCTTTGTGCATGTATCACATAAAACTGATACAGTGGTAATAAAAAAGATTGATCATGTACATGTTTGTTTATGAATACAAAGTGAACCCACAAATGATCTATATTTATAACCAGACATGTTTTGTAATAATGTCAATAAGACGTTAGATTGTGCCATTTAAATATTATTGTAGGATATTTATATAGCATACATATCCACAACTAGTACATGCTCAAGGCACTGGAGTGTTCCCTTGTTCAACAGATGTCCTTTTTTCTGGCATTGTTTTAACAAACTCAACTCCCTGGGGAGTATTCAACTCATGCAGCCTGTTATGTGCAGAAAGTCGACTGGGACACATAGTCACTTAGTTAAATATGACATTTCAGTGGCAAGTATGACCATCTTTAGCAGCCATTTAGGTATCATCAGAACACACAACTGATGACAATGACTCTGGACATCAAACACACCACTTTGATTTATGTCTTATTTCATGTAATGTAAAACATTTATAATATTCACATTTCTGTATACTTAATGATGATGACATTTTTAACTTCACTTTCTCTTTAATTATCTCGGCGATGTAGTATTAGGCTCCGTCCGTACGTACGAATTTGAATTTCTTAAGAACCGTTGACTAGATTCATTTCATATTTGGTACCTAGGTTCATCACGGCCCAGTCGATTTTGGTGACCTTCACTTAATTTTCAAGGTCACGGAGACACTTTGAAGATTTCAGCATGTTAACCTACATGTTATGCTTTTCAGCGACATACCTCAAGAACCCTTAACTAGATTTTCTTAATATTCAACGCCAAGCTTCATCCAGGGAAAGCGCAGGGCCCAGTCGATTTTGGTGACCTTCACTTAATTTTCAAGGTCACGGAGACACTTTGAAGATTTCAGCATGTTAACCTACATGTTATGCTTTTCAGCGACATACCTCAAGAACCCTTCACTAGATTTTCTTAATATTCAAGGCCAAGCTTCATCCAGGGAAAGCGCAGGGCCCAGTCGATTTTGGTGACCTTCACACAATGTTTAAGGTCACAAGGACTATTTGAAGGTTTCAGCATGTTAACCTGCATGTTAATTTGTCAGCAAGATATCTCAAGAGACACTGGATTTTCTTTGAAAGACTACACTTTGAATGTTTTTCAATAAGCAATTTCTTTAGTACTATTTTTGCATATTTCATACACTATGACATTCACATCAAGGTAAAAGTGAGTCTTGAAAATATGTGTGTGTTTGAACAACTACAGAACTAGATATCAAGAGAGGTTAACTGGTCATGTTTTTGTTGACATTTAACTTCATCTTAAACTACGACCTTCACTTTCGTTACTTTATAAATTTGATTTGATAATTTGCGGCGGGGGATTATGTCACCTTAGTGACAATGCTTGTTTATGTATCATGTACCATCATCATCATTCCTCTTTCATGGAAACAGTCATGGAATTCACATCTAATCAGAAACATGACTAATTGTCTTTGGTCGCTTATCAAAATGCGTTCTTCAAAGTCAACCATGTACACTAATGTTACTTGTTAGTGATCTATGAGGCAAAACAACAAAATGCTTGTGCTCCAGGTAACATGCATACAACACATAAGTCTGTAGGTTTTTCTTTTTTATTTATTTTTATTCCTTCTCTAAATTTTGTTAAGTATAGTATTAACACAGCCTATGGGGAACTGAGTTTCAGTTGATATGTTTCTCTGATATGTAGGTTCAAATTACTGACTGGAAGAGATGTTTTAGAAATTTATAGTGTTTCTTAGTGGTTTCTGGCTTGATAAAGAAAAGTGGGTCACAATTTAAGATGGAGTTTACCTGAAACAAGTATTTGAAAAATATATTTTTGCCCATTACAAGTAATAGTTTTACTATTCTTTTTATTGTACGTTTTCTACATGCCTTGGCTGTGGTGTTTAAGGTAATGCAAGTTATCTTGGTCTCTGTTAAGTGGACCTGTATGTTTCTCATCCAGATGACCTACAACTTGTTTTATCTGTTTGTATGTTACGTTCATCACCTTTGACAAAGTGGACGCTGCCATCTTTATGTGAATTATGGTTTTTACTCGATTCTCACATTTTACGTTCACAAGATATTTTAATCTGGGCAAGACAATCCAGTTATTGATAATGGGAGTTCATAAAGCCAGCACAGGTCACTGGGAACGCCATCAAACCTGGAATACACTTGGATGAACTGATGAGTTTTCAGATAGTTGTATTAACTCACAGACTAATCATGTTTTCTGGTAAGCATTTTATTTCTTCAGATTCATTCCGTAAAATTTACTAATACCGAACATTGATAACATGTATAATCCAAGAATAAGTATACTTTACTTCAATGTTCACCTGGACCTACAGCAACAGTGTAACAGTACATAGGGACATGTGGGTCTGTACATCTCTTTGTATTGTCATCACTATTAGTATCAAACGTTTCTGGTGAAATTGGTGGTAATTGTAATATTTGTCTTTAGTTTGTTGGGCTGTTATATTTATCAGCGTAGATGTATGTTTCATCTTACAAAGATAACTTGTGTATCCTGTTGATATTTCCATGAGAATATATATTATTTTTCTACCTCAAATTGTTTGTTTGTTTCTATTTTTTTAAAGAAAAAAACACAGATTTATAGAATAACAAACATGCTGCAGTGGTTAAAGATAATCTGTCAATCTTCACACTTTGGCAGTCATTCACAATTGAGGGATAAATCGTAACTCCGAGTTTCAAGGGGTTCTCTATATAACTGACATTTTAAGATAGAAGTAGAAGGGAAAATGTTGAGAAACTTCCCCATTGTTCAGATGATGTACTCAATATGTAGACCCCTCCGTAGTGTACTGGTTAGAGCGGAAGGTCGCAGGTTCGATCCCCGACCGCGTCATACCAAAAGACGTTAAAATATGGTACTTGTTGGTCCCTGCCTGGCGCTCGGCATTAATGGGTACAACAAGGACTGGTCGGCTCGGAGTCAGTATAATGTGTCTGAGTGGGGTATTCCTGCTTCACTGCGGCATGGTATCTCAGTGGGCTAGCACTATAAAACCAGCTTCAGTCTGGGCTAGTACAAACAGCCGCACATACACATACACACGCATGCACGTCGTCATATGAGCGAAATATTCTCAAGCACGACGTTAAACCCAATTTCACCTCACCTCTCTCAATATGTATGGCATAAACCACAGGGGTTCGAATCACTGCTTGGACAATATTTAAAAAAAAATAAAAATCCAGACTTTTGGAACCGTATATTGTTTTTATATGTTATGAGTAACTTATATTTCAAATTTGAACGAAATCGGTGAAGAAATGGATTTTTTAGAAAAAAAATTCATGAGCTTACAGTGTTTGTCATCTCCTAGTTCTAGTCTAGCATATAATGACCAAACAGTCCTGTGATTGATATCAACGATAAACACTCAACTATGACGCGCCATCAACCGTGTCACCGAACCTGTACACTCGATCTCTTCATTGGTTGCTGGGGATCTGTTTAAAACGTTGAGTGGGAGGGTGGATTGAGAGAGTATGGTGTATGCTGGTTCAGTACTCGCAAAAGTTCAAGAACCAATGATGGCTACATATCAGTAGGTGAGGAGCATTTTTCTATGCGTACTAGCAGACTCCCCACTATTGATTTACTGTCGAAGATATGATTCTCCCGATTTGGGAAGTGAGATGGCTTCCCAGGTTGCTGCTATTATTTTTTATACCCGCGGACAATATTGACTAAGAACCTGGAGACGTGTGTGAAGCATCATTTCACTCATTCGATAATCGATAGAGATTATCTCATCAACATCTGTAAGAAAAAAAGGAATGGATACTAGCTGGTGGAAGATCTCGAAAGTTCGTTCTGACGTTACCCAAAATGGGATGTCTTATATTTCTTTATCGAGAAGCTTTGTTTACCGATAGCCAGTAAATGTAGACGGTATAGATTATGGATTACAATGAGTCGATCGCAATAAATAATGCATACGTTATGTTTTATGTCGACTGCCATGCACGTGCACTTTGCGCAAGACGTGAAAGCGAATGTTTTGTCAGTCAACAGGTTTTGTCAGCGTGAACCACGCGCCATCCAGCCCTGGCTTTCAAACGTGGTATATTTCGGGTAGATTAAAGACTTTTTATGCAAGCACATGTGTAGGGGTCTTAGTACGTACAAATGTTTATTGAAACAGCTCATAGACACCAAACAGGTATATTTGAATGTTTCTGAATCACCAGTCAGTTATAACATGGCAGTTGTTCTACCGTACAAGTATCACACATAGTTCTACAGTACACTCATAGTTATATATGATGATAGGGCATAGGGCCATTTATATTCTGGATGGGGGGCTAAGATTTTGTATGGTCGTATAGATACTCAATATTTTTCCAGTAACAGCTGAAAATTACTAATTATTTCTTTTTATAAATAAGTAAACCTATGTGCCTAAATAGTTTGTTTGATGAAGCCTCTTGCAAATATGTTTTTTTAATGCAGACCATTTCATATTTTGTCAGCAGATTTAAGCATAAATATATTTTTCAGGCCTTTTCGGGAACAATATATTTGTTTAAATTTCGCCTTCCTTGAGTTGACCGATTCAGCTGGCAGATTTCACTAAAGCGAAACTTCGTTTTCCCCCAACGTTGAGCTGATGCGACTGGCGTATGACAGAAACAGCTCAAAGTGACGTCAACGTCACCGTATTCTGCTATGACAGGAGGCGAGGACACTCCCGTCATAAAAGTGTAAGAACTGAGTATTCTTTTGACATTTTCTGACCGTTTTATTTATGTATTTCCCCAATATATTCTGTAAAACTTGTAGACAACGGTAAAAACAGCCACTCTACGTGTTACTGGTCGTGGGTTTATGCCTCGTTTATTTACTTCACAGAAGGATGCCCCAGGTTAACTGAGCAGGTATTGTCCAGTCTCCACCAAGGATGCATGGGCTCTTTCTTTCACGACATTTCAGATTTCTAAAACGATTCATTTCTTTACTTCTAAATATTCAATGGAAGAAACGAAAGCCCAGCATCACCGAAATATTCCTTCCATGGTAATGCAGATTGAGTCTAGCTTCCATGGCTGCCAGAAACGACAAAGTGTGTACACAACGTTATTATTGTTGCTGTCGAAACTTCTAGTTTCTTAGTTTTCGAAATACAGATTTCACACTTGTCCTCTGAATGCGTCGCTCACTCCTATCTAGAACCCTGTTGATTGCCCTATTACAAAACTCATCTGACGTCTGTTATTCACACAGAGGTATCGTATGTCAGGGAGAATAGAAGACGTAGATTATCTGATTGTTGTGCTGTAGATCATCCCTGGTATGTGAGGAAAGTTTTGGCGGGCATTAAGCCCCGTCGAAGTCAGCAAGTGATCTTAGCGATGCAGAGTGAACGGTTTGATTTGATCCCGCTGACATACTTTGGTGGCAACATGGATGACAACGTCCGCGATCAGCTCTAGAATCTCACCCAGCGTGAGGAGGGAGAAGCCCAGCCACAACCCTGCCTGTCCGCCGACATCAGACAACAGACTCTTCCACTGGAATACAGACAGGAGATGTAAATATACTGACATCAGACGACAGACTCTTCCACTGGAATACAGACAGGAGATGTAAATATACTGACATCAGACAACAGACTCTTCCACTGGAATACAGACAGGAGGAGATATACTCATACTGACATCAGACAACAGACTCTTCCACTGGAATACAGGCAGGAGGAGATATACTCATACTGACATCAGACAACAGACTCTTCCACTGGAATACAGACAGGAGATGTAATTATACTGACATCAGACAACAGACTCTTCCACTGGAATACAGACAGGAGGAGATATACTCATACTGACATCAGACAACAGACTCTTCCACTGGAATACAGACAGGAGGAGATATACTCATACTGACATCAGACAACAGACTCTTCCACTGGAATACAGACAGGAGATGTAATTATACTGACATCAGACAACAGACTCTTCCACTGGAATACAGACAGGAGGAGATATACTCATACTGACATCAGACAACAGACTCTTCCACTGGAATACAGACAGGAGGAGATATACTCATACTGACATCAGACAACAGACTCTTCCACTGGAATACAGACAGGAGGAGATATACTCATACTGACATCAGACAACAGACTCTTCCACTGGAATACAGACAGGAGGAGATATACTCATACTGACATCAGACGACAGACTCTTCCACTGGAATACAGACAGGAGGAGATATACTCATACTGACATCAGACAACAGACTCTTCCACTGGAATACAGACAGAAGATGTAAATATACTGACATCAGACAACAGACTCTTCCACTGGAATACAGACAGGAGATGTAATTATACTGACATCAGACAACAGACTCTTCCACTGGAATACAGACAGGAGGAGATATACTCATACTGACATCAGACAACAGACTCTTCCACTGGAATACAGACAGGAGGAGATATATTCATACTGACATCAGACGACAGACTCTTCCACTGGAATACAGACAGAAGATGTAAATATACTGACATCAGACAACAGACTCTTCCACTGGAATACAGACAGGAGATGTAATTATACTGACATCAGACAACAGACTCTTCCACTGGAATACAGACAGGAGGAGATATACTCATACTGACATCAGACAACAGACTCTTCCACTGGAATACAGACAGGAGGAGATATACTCATACTGACATCAGACGACAGACTCTTCCACTGGAATACAGACAGGAGGAGATATATTCATACTGACATCAGACGACAGACTCTTCCACTGGAATACAGACAGGAGGAGATATATTCATACTGACATCAGACAACAGACTCTTCCACTGGAATACAGACAGGAGGAGATATATTCATACTGACATCAGACAACAGACTCTTCCACTGGAATACAGACAGGAGATGTAATTATACTGACATCAGACAACAGACTCTTCCACTGGAATACAGACAGGAGGAGATATACTCATACTGACATCAGACAACAGACTCTTCCACTGGAATACAGACAGGAGGAGATATATTCATACTGACATCAGACGACAGACTCTTCCACTGGAATACAGACAGGAGGAGATATATTCATACTGACATCAGACGACAGACTCTTCCACTGGAATACAGACACAAGATGTAAATATACTGACATCAGACAACAGACTCTTCCACTGGAATACAGACAGGAGATGTAATTATACTGACATCAGACAACAGACTCTTCCACTGGAATACAGACAGGAGGAGATATACTCATACTGACATCAGACAACAGACTCTTCCACTGGAATACAGACAGGAGGAGATATACTCATACTGACATCAGACAACAGACTCTTCCACTGGAATACAGACAGGAGGAGATATACTCATACTGACATCAGACAACACTCTTCCACTGGAATACAGACAGGAGGAGATATATTCATACTGACATCAGACAACAGACTCTTCCACTGGAATACAGACAGGAGGAGATATACTCATACTGACATCAGACAACAGACTCTTCCTCTGGGACGAGAAATGTTATGATAATGACATCAGACCCTCCTACTGGAATATAACCAGGAAATTAGTCGTAAATTAAGTGATATCGATTTCTGAGTCGTGAGATTCTATTTTCAGACAATGGAACACTGACAGGGAGGACATATGTTTAGCTTATATTGCAGCAGTATAAATTCAGCAACACACACGACGAGCTTGCCAAATTATATTCTCCGATGTTCAGGTCGTGTTAACCAACTCACATATGTAACCTACCATGTATAGTCGTAGAGAAAGGAAGCTGTACTTACATCATACGCTGGTCTTGTCTCAATCTTCTCATAGTTAAGCGTTTTGTAGAAAATGTTCACAGACATTACATTCCGCCTGAAAAGAAAAAAACCCAATCTAAATGACATTCTGGGGACTACAATACAAACAGTTCAATATGGTGTTGCGGGTTCCGTGAGATGGGAGTTTCCTTTAAGGAAACAAGGAATCAATTGACGTAATGTCCAAATCATAAACTATAAGATGCAGTGTAACCTGAAAAATTCCTCCTTCTCTGTAGCAGAAGAACTTTCACTGATCGGCACCTTCCTGCCGCTTGCGATCAGCTGAGACACGAAAGATTCTGCCAGTTTGGGGATGTGGTTTGCCGCGGGCCACATGGATGCCGAGATTTCCTGCTGGTACGATTCGTCTCTGGAATGTTCATGGAGCAAATCATCTTAAGTGTATGTTAAGGTATGGGAGTTACCGTAGCGCTACAATCACTTTCTACAACAGCACCGAGGGATATAATCCGTGGACAACTCGTGGTCGGCTACAGTTCATTTCACGGTAAATGCTACAGCTAACGATCTCGGGGGGTGTTCTTACCCTCGCTGGTATGCCCAGGACATTACATTCTCACCCACGTACATATACATAAAACATTTAAGAAATACAGTTCGCTCTACCACCATGTATAGTGCAATAAAGCACACTTTCCCCCTGAACTATTATAGTTAAAGCACGAGGACGCTTGCGTCCACCATGTATAGTGTAATAAAGCACACTTTCGCCCTGAGCTATTATAGTTAAAGCACGAGGACACGTGCGTCCGAGTGCTTTAACGTTATAATAGTTCAGGGCGAAAGTGTGCTTTATTACACTATACATGGTGGTAGAGCGAAATGTATTTCTTTTTTAAGATGCCAAATGTAATACTTTCTAAGGATAATTACGATTAATCTAAGGCAGAAAACAAACGACGGTGTCGGTAACCTAAATTAAGAATCCTCGCACAGGGCTAACTGGCGCGCTGTTCTATTGATGTGTCTGCCCCCTTACGTTAACATTCTCACCCGCGTAGATATACAGAGGACATTACATTCTCACCTACATAGCTATACAGAGGACATCACATCGTCACCCACGTAGATATACAGAGGACATCACATTCTCACCTACGTAGGTATACATAGGACATTACATTCTCACACACGTAAATATACATAGGACATTACATTCTCACCCACGTAAAATACATAGGACATTACATTCTCACCCACGTAGATATACAGAGGACATTACATTCTCACCCACGTAAATATACAAAGGGCATTACATTCTCACCCACGTAAATATACATAGGGCATTACATTCTCACCCACCTAAATATACATAGGACATTACATTCTCACCCACGTAGATATACAGAGGACATTACATTCTCACCTACGTAAATATACATAGGGCATTACATTCTCACCCACGTAAATATACATAGGGCATTACATTCTCACCCACGTAAATATACAGAGGACATTACATTCTCACCCACGTAAATATACATAGGACATTACCTATGTAGATATACATAGGACATTACATTCTCACCTACGTAGATATACATAGGACATTACATTCTCACCCACGTAGATATACAGAGGACATTACATTCTCACCCACGTAAATATACATGGGACATTACATTCTCACCCACGTAGATATACATGGGACATTACATTCTCACCCACGTAGATATACAGAGGGACAAAACATTCTCACCTACGTAGATATATATAGGACATTACATTCTCACCCACGTAGATATACAGAGGACAAAACATTCTCACCTACGTAGATATACATAGGACATTACATTCTCACCTACGTAGATATACATAGGACATTACATTCTCACCCACGTAGATATACAGAGGGACATTACATTCTCACCTACGTAGATATACATATGACATTACATTCTCACCTACGTAGATATACATAGGACATTACATTCTCACCCACGTAAATATACAGAGGGACAAAACATTCTCACCTACGTAGATATACATAGGACATTACATTCTTACCCACGTAATATACATAGGGACATTACATTCCTCACCCACGTAGATATACAGAGGACAAAAACATTCTCACCTACGTAGATATACATAGGACATTACATTCTCACCTACGTAGATATACATAGGACATTACATTCTCACCCACGTAGATATACAGAGGACATTACATTCCACCTACGTAAATATACACAGGACATTACATTCTCACCCACGTAGACATCAGAGGGACCTTACATTCTCACCCACGTAAATATACATAGGACATTACATTCTCACCCACGTAAATATACATAGGACATTACATTTCTCACCCACGTTAATATACATAGGACATTACATTCTCACCAACGTAAATATACAGAGGACATTACATTCTCACCTACGTAGATATACATAGGACATTACATTCTCACCCACGTAGATATACAGAGGACATTACATTCTCACCCACGTAAATATACATAGGACATTACATTCTCACCCACGTAGATATACATAGGACATTACATTCTCACCCACGTAGATATACAGAGGACAAAACATTCTCACCTACGTAGATATACATAGGACATTACATTCTCACCCACGTAGATATACAGAGGACAAAACATTCTCACCTACGTAGATATACATAGGACATTACATTCTCACCTACGTAGATATACATAGGACATTACATTCTCACCCACGTAGATATACAGAGGACATTACATTCTCACCTACGTAGATATACATATGACATTACATTCTCACCTACGTAGATATACATAGGACATTACATTCTCACCCACGTAGATATACAGATGACAAAACATTCTCACCTACGTAGATATACATAGGACATTACATTCTCACCCACGTAGATATACATAGGACATTACATTCTCACCCACGTAGATATACAGAGGGACAAAACATTCTCACCTACGTAGATATACATAGGGACATTACATTCTCACCTACGTAGATATACATAGGACATTACATTCTCACCCACGTAGATATACAGAGGACATTACATTCCACCTACGTAAATATACACAGGACATTACATTCTCACCCACGTAGACATCGAGAGGACCTTACATTCTCACCCACGTAAATATACATAGGACATTACATTCTCACCCACGTAAATATACATAGGACATTACATTCTCACCCACGTTAATATACATAGGACATTACATTCTCACCAACGTAAATATACAGAGGACATTACATTCTCACCTACGTAGATATACATATGACATTACATTCTCACCTACGTAGATATACATAGGACATTACATTCTCACCAAAGTAGATATACAGAGGGACAAAACATTCTCACCTACGTAGATATACATAGGACATTACATTCTCACCCACGTAGATATACATAGGACATTACATTCTCACCCACGTAGATATACAGAGGACAAAACATTCTCACCTACGTAGATATACATAGGACATTACATTCTCACCTACGTAGATATACATAGGACATTACATTCTCACCCACGTAGATATACATAGGACATTACATTCTCACCAACGTAAATATACATAGGACATTACATTCTCACCCACGTGTAGACATCGGAGGGACCTTACATTCTCACCCACGTAAATATACATAGGACATTACATTCTCACCCACGTAAATATACATAGGACATTACATTTCTCACCCACGTTAATATACATAGGACATTACATTCTCACCCACGTAAATCTACAGAGGACATTACATTCTCACCCACGTTAATATACATGGGACATTACATTCTCACCAACGTAAATATACATAGGACATTACATTCTCACCAACGTAAATATACATAGGACATTACATTCTCACCCACATAGATATACATAGGACATTACATTCTCACCCACGTAGATATACATAGAGGCATTACATTCTCCACCCAGGTAAATATACATAGGACATTACATTCTCACCCACGTTAATATACATAGGACATTACATTCTCACCAACGTAAATATACATAGGACATTACATTCTCACACACGTAAATATACATAGGACATTACATTCTCACCCACGTAAAAATACATAGGACATTACATTCTCACCCACGTAGATATACAGAGGACATTACATTCTCACCCACGTAAATATACAAAGGGCATTACATTCTCACCCACGTAAATATGCATAGGGGCATTACATTCTCACCCACCTAAATATACATAGGACATTAAAATCTCACCCACGTGGATATACAGAGGGACATTACATTCTCACCTACGTAAATATACATAGGGCATTACATTCTCACCCACGTAAATATACATAGGGCATTACATTTCTCACCCACGTAAATATACAGGGGACATTACATTCTCACCCACGTAAATATACATAGGACAAAAACATTCTCACCTACGTAGTTATACATAGGACATTACATTTCTCACCTACGTAGATATACATAGGACATTACATTCTCACCCACGTAGATATACAGAGGACATTACATTCTCACCCGTAAATATACATAGGACATTACATTTCTCACCCACGTAGATATACATAGGACATTACATTTCTCACCCACGTAGATATACAGAGGGACAAAACATTCTCACCTACGTAGATGTACATAGGACATTACATTCTCACCCGTAGATATACAGAGGACAAAGGACATTCTCACCTACGTAATATACATAGGACATTACATTCTCACCTACGTAGATATACATAGGACATTACATTCTCACCCACGTAGATATACAGAGGGACATTACATTCTCACCTACGTAGATATACATATGACATTACATTCTCACCTACGTAGATATACATAGGACATTACATTCTCACCCACGTAGATATACAGAGGGACAAAACATTCTCACCTACGTAGATATACATAGGACATTACATTCTCACCCACGTAGATATACATAGGACATTACATTCTCACCCACGTAGATATACAGAGGGACAAACATTTCTCACCTACGTAGATATACATAGGACATTACATTCTCACCTACGTAGATATACATAGGACATTACATTCTCACCCACGTAGATATACAGAGGGACATTACATTCCACCTACGTAAATATACACAGGACATTACATTCTCACCCACGTAGACATCGAGAGGACCTTACATTCTCACCCACGTAAATATACATGGGACATTACATTCTCACCCACGTAAATATACATAGGACATTACATTCTCACCCACGTTAATATACATAGGGACATTACATTCTCACCAACGTAAATATACAGAGGACATTACATTCTCACCTACGTAGATATACATATGACATTACATTCTCACCTACGTAGATATACATAGGACATTAC